CTAATTGATGTGTATTGCAGTAGAACCAAACTACTTCTGACAGTATTTAAGTCGAAAACAAATGACTGCTAGCTAAATTTCCAAGAATCAAAATTAACACCTGACACAAACAAGCAAACACTTTTCCATGAGTCATAAATTTATTATTGTATACTCCTAAAATGTTTTCTAAGAAACAATAGTGTACTCACATTGGCGGCAAGTTCTTAAAGTCGGTAACTTATTTTTGTTCGAACAATAGAGATAATAAATTCCAAATGATCAAGTTGTAAAGGTTGTAAAATAAAACGTTCCTATGTTCGAGATACAGAGGTCAAATTTAATTTTTCGAGTTATAGAGTGAAAATATGTACCAAAATGGCTTGGAGGGACTCGGTGATTATTTCGATTAACAGAGGGTCAAGATTTCAAGTAATGGAGGTTTGGTGTTTTAAGGGAAGGGAACAAAACATTTTTTCGAGATTTGGAGGTTTTTGACTTATAGAGGTTCGACTTAAGAGGTTCTACTGTAGCTTCATACATGAATTGAGACGTGATCGTATTGGGCCATGATGCTGCTAAAAAATAATAAGGATACAAAATAGTATAAAGAATACATAGGCTTGTGAAAATAAAGCGGTACAATAACGTCCTTAGTAGATTAAACCAGAAAATTTCTGAACATTGTCCCAAAATATCTGATAATAAATGGTAACCCTTTTTGATGTAAATTTTCTTTGCAGCAAGAGTTGGATGAGTGCAACAAGAAGCTTTTGGAAATAAAGAAGCAGTACGAAGACATGGAGAAAATAATCGAAGGTCCCTTGGCGGAAGAGGCTCAGCGAAGACAAGAGTACATTGACAAGAAGAGATGCGAATATCTTGCGTGGGCGCAGAAAACTAATAGGGTGAGTTATAACTAAAAGATAATTTATTAATTATCTGTCCTGTTAAACGTTGTCGACAAGTTTACGACAATTTCATATGGACTTGGGGGACCGTGAATTATGTTTAGCTATCTTAATGGACTGTCTAATAAAATGTCGTGTGTCATGTAACTTTTGATCAGTCCAGCTCTTTTTGAGTTTATTGATTAAAAAATGTTTTCTCTTCATAATGTTAGGTTGTATAATCGTCTTCATCTTCCACCGCATTTACCATGGAGTGTTCAGAGGAGTTGTTCGGATTAACACCTGCGGCTAAATTTCATCATCGGACGTCGATGCAGAATACGAAATCCACCCCCTATCACCTTGACGTCCATCGTTCCACAACTGAGCATTTTTTAAGGCAGGCTGCGCACTACCACTATATGGAACCAGCTGCCCACTATAAAGTATTTCCGACCCAAAATATGGTCCTTCAAGAAAAGAGCGTATCAATTCTTAAAAGGCCGGCAACGCAATCGCGAACCCTCTGGCATTGAGAGTGTGATAATATCAGGTGAGCCTCCTGCCCGTTTGCCGCCTGATCTATAAAAAAGGATGTATAATTCAAATGGTTGTATCACGTCGAATATATTCAGTAAAAACTTAAATATATAAGTTGGAAACAATCAGAATTGCAAATATGTATGATGTTTACAAGAATACGGAATTATTTAACCTATTTTTATAGGAAGTACGTCAAGCTATGGTGGAACAAATAAAAGATCGTCAAAAAGCAAGAGAGAATCTCAAACAGAAACTGGAAGAGCAAGATGAATACCAAAGACAATTGTTTGAGCAGCTTGAGAAGCTTGTGGACCATAAACAGTTTACAGATGCGCAGAAGCGGAAATTGCACCAAAGACAACTGTTAGAACAGATAGAGTACAACAAGCTGTTGAAGGTAATTTTACTTTTTTTTATTTTTAATTTGAATATTTATTCTATGTTCTTATCACACTATATCTTGTAACATATACAGGCTGTCTCATAAATGAACCTCAAGTTGAAATTGGTTGAAAAGGACCACCTTTTAACCAACAGGTTAAGTCCCAAAAATAAAAAAAAAACTATATTCCGTATTTTACTATTACTAAGAGTAAAATTTTTCACTTTTACCGCGAGGTCTGAAAACCACAGAACATACTTCAATGTTCTGATTTAAAATCAAACCTTGTATTAAAAAATATTTATCCATCCAACTTCTACGAATTAAAAAGTCTACGCAATGTTTGCATGTGACGTAACGCTTCTTACCCAACTTCAGATTAACGGTACATCTGTATGTAGGTTTTAAAAAAAATAGTTTTTCATTTATCTTAAATGTTTGTGACATCCTAAATTGCGTAAAAACTATAAAAGTCAAGTAGTGTAAAGTTCTTTATTTTTTAATTTCTAAATATTTATTTTATTATGTGTCAACGCCCTAATGAAGCAGATATATTTCTGGATTTGTTTCATTGATAATTCTTCATACATGTGAACAGCGTTTTGTTATAGGCCATATGCAATATGCATATTATATCAAAATCTCACGACACTCGTAAACTTGGCTAAGATTGCTCTTTATAAACTGCGTCACTTATAACTTTGACAGTGTCCATAATTATAATTTTACTTATGAGCGGAAAGAGAATTAGCGTGCCGGTAATGTGAACCAATATAATTCTTATTTAATTCTAAAATTAATTCACAAAAATAACATACTTTAATTTTTTTATGTTAAGTATCAAGATTACCTACTATCGAACTATTATGACGTAACAGTCTCGTCAACATAACAAAGAAGCTAAATTGAGCGCCGCAGCGACCTCAAATCCCACGGCGCTTCTGTTTCCGCAATAACTTTTATTAGCTTAATCGCAATGATTTCTAGGAACGAGCACGTCAAGAGGAGTTGGATCAAATCAAGAAATGTCAGTTGGCAACTGAGGAGTACCAGAGAGAGATTGAAAGGATGCTGCGACGGTTTGTTTCTTTATGCTAAACTGTGTTATATTGTAATCAAAATTTAGAATAAAACTGGTATAAGTTGATTATATAGGATCTACTACGGACGTAATCGTAGACGGCAGATGCTTCTTAGCGGGTAATGGTATAGACTCTATAGTCTCTATACCGCGCTTATAATACTATAGACTATAGACGTGTATTGGGACATCGTATGATGCGGGTTACCGGTTAAGGTGTAGAACTGTCTACTGAATGTTTGTGTATGTTGTATATGCACGACAGTAAGCGATAACTTGTATTAAATGAATTTACTTATAGCGTATAAACTGCAAAAAAATAATATGAAGTGCAATAAATATACCACGGGAATTATTTTCACAGTCGTGAATAAATCAAAATCGGTTCATTAGTTCCTATACAAACATGCTAGCTTGAATAACTTATACCTCGTTATAAGATTCGATTTATGGATCCTACGAGTTATATAGTAAAGTACTGCAATATTTTTTATTAATTTAACCTTTAACGACAAAATCTTGTTACATTTATCTCATTGTGCGAGATATGAATCAAAACGGAACTTCCTAAGTGAACAAGGTTTTATGGAGGAAAATCGTGATTATTATAATAATGTTTGAAAATTAAGGTCTTCTGAAAAATCTCGTAAACCTTGTAGAATTTATACGCAAATTTTTGCGTATAATTTTGTATTGACGCGAGTATCAAGATTAAAAGAAAACGCTACCGAGTACAAACGCGTTAGTTCTTCATGTTTATAGGAGGCCTATACCCTATCAAGAGGTACCTATAATAAAAATTAAACAATAATATTAAAATCACATAAAAATAATGTATAAAAATCACATAGTATTATTGCTTATCGTACACTACAAAACTCTATATTCTCATAAATTCATTTCAGACCATTCTTCAGTGACGAAGTACATCCATTTACAAAGCAACTCGCAAAAGGTTTAAAAATTCCAGAGAAGTGCCCCTGTTCTAAACCTAATTATTGTAAATAACTTTTTGTAATTTTTTGCAAAATATACTTGAACATATTTTTTTTTCATATTGTATATTATTCATTAATATTTATACTAAAGTGTTACGGACGAATTAAGGTAAATACATAATTATGCTTAAAATTGCAGTCCTTCAAATGGATGAACCTTTCAACATCCACATTTCTTTGGTTCTTGGTCTCTCAACAGTACTACCTACTGGGGCTGGACCAGTAGTTCTGTTGACGTTCATAAACATAATAGAACAGCACATTTAATAGATATCCCCATACCCAACAACCACAACTTTCAAATTAGAATCGCGCATAAAATCACGAAATATAAAGAACTTTAAAAATAAATTTATGCTCCAATAGCCGTTTTATTAGATACAGCGTGAATAAAACGAAGTTTTGGAAACAAGAGCAACATTGCATAATAAAAAATGCTGCACACTTGGCTTAGGCTCATCTGTAACAGTTCAACAGGTTCATAAGCAAAACTAGTAAAAAAATTATCAGCACATTAAACCATTAATAATTCCTTAAATTCCTAGTACACCTTATCCCAGTGAGCCTTGACATTGCATCAAAGTGTATCGCGATGTCGGAAGCGTTTCCTATTCTTATTCTAAACACGTCTTTGATGGTCGTGTTGATAAGATGCACGTATAGTACTGGCAAGGTGACAAGTGTTTATTTGATTATTTCCTTCGCGAACATTATTCTCGATTTATATCCAAAAACATATTAGCTTATGAACTAACTGACGATAATAATATGAAAATATTAGCTTGACCCTAGAATAATCTGCGTTGACATCGAAATGTGTGAATAAAATCGATGTATTATTATCTGGTTAAAACGTATTTGAAGCCAATCGTACATGTTAAATTGCGCAATAGGTATTTGACATAAAATAATACCGTTTTCATTTAAATTATGTGCGTGATTGTACCGACTAACCGAGTAAAGACAATTTTCCTGTAGGAAGGGCGGCTAATACATATAAAAAATACTTATTACGAAGGCAACTCATAACGCCATGATTTCATTCTAAAATTTTCCTTAAACAAGTCATATCTATATAAACTCGCGAGCTTTGGTCTGAACACGCAGTAACAGTTTGGACTTAGAACATGTTCACTAAATGTATAGTTCTTGCCTTAGTGGCAGTGGCTTCATGCCATGATTTAGCTATAGGATTCAATACAAATGGAAAGAAAATATTTGATGAAACGAAACAAGCCAACCCTGCGATTTGGAGACAGGCGAATAATGTAACTGTAACAGCCAGCGAAAATGAAGTGATAAGTCGTGTAGTTGTTAAAGATCTGAGGCCAGAAAAGGATGGAGATGTGAAAATAGTAGAAGGAGGCGAAGGTCAGAAGAATGTTACCATTGAACTCAAAAGTCCAACTGCTTTACGAGGATATGATTTCCAGATTGAAGTATATGCCATTCCAGATATCACAGCCCAAAAGGATATTAATTTAAAAGATGGAACCCCGAATACAAATGATAAAAAATCACCTACGGAAAACACTGGATCTAAAAACACCCCTACAATTGTCTCAAAAGATGAAACTGCGAGGTCAGCGCACAACTCAATGAAAAACACTGAAGTGAGTTCAACAGTGGTACCAGAAGATTGTGTAACAGATGTACCCGTCGAAGATTTTAATAAAGAAAACATGAAGATATCAAAAGATGCCCAGGATCATGAAACAGTAGAATTTGTTTTAGACACGAATGATTCTTCTAAGGAAGCCTTAAAAGCTGAAAGTATGACTGTAGACCTACCGATTGAAGTAAACGAGAATGATAGAGATATTTTTACAAGCACAACAGAAAGCGATGAAACTACTACTATTTTTGAAACAACCACATTACCTGACAATAATAAATATGATAAAGAGCCAATGATTGATGAAGGTCTGAGGTGGAATTGGCAAAGTGTTAAAGTTTTCAAGCCCATAGTTGAAATGAAAGTAAACACTACAGAACAAACCGATAAAAATAAGTTTTAGTATTAATACTTTTATGTTTGCTGTTATAATTTTATTTGTTTTGACAGTATATTTAATTATGCAAATTAGCGCCCCTGTACAATATTATAAAGGCATGGCAAGCTGAGGCTGCCAACTTGAACCCTTTTTAAAGTAAGATTTGCTGTAATAAAAGCGTATCTTTTTACCATCCTTTAAGAACTTTATGAATTGTAATATTAAAACTACGTAATATTTCCCAGATATTTTATACTTTAAAAGTGCCTATTAAAGTGTTAAATAATACAAGTTGTTGTTATTTTGGTTTTTTATTTATAAAAATAATCACAAATGCTTTATCATGGAATAATTCTTAACAATGAATTAAGTATGACACAATTTAAGTCAAGATAATTTTGTTTTGTTATCTAATATCATGCAATATATGTAGAACTAATTAAAACAATTATAGCTAATTTCATTAAGATAAAACACATAAAACTGTAGAAACGCAATAAACGTGTTATTAAATGACACACTTTCAATTACAAAATATAAGTAGTGCACTATGAATATTTGTTTACGTATTAAATTCATAATTACTAAACTATGACAAAAAATAAAGAAACCACCATTCTTTGAGTTAGATAAATACCGTAGACAGTTAAATTGCCGACGAATTTTGATACTTAACCTATTCACTAGGACATTATTTTGGTTTGAAGATCACATATTGCTTTTGTAATAAAGCAAATGATCACAGCCTATACAATTATTGCTTTTCTGCATACAGTTAATAATTAGATTAAATATTAGGTCCTGACATATCTATTGTGGTCTATTGATACACTGGCCACTTCTGACTACATCACAGATATGTTTATTGAATAAATTCAAATTTTCGAAGCTCATCTATATTTTGTATTTCATTAAGGTTCATTTCTTTTCGCGCCAATCAATTGTTGTTACACGTGTAAAACTTCAAATAACGCGTAAAAAATATCTCATAATATTACGCGACCTTGTTCAACAAAAGAATGAATAATTTCTTACAAAATAGCGTAAATGCATAATAAAAATTTAGATGAAATATATTTCAATTTGTTTTGTTTCAACTTTTCAATAGTAAATATCTATGCATATGGACCTAATACTTGAATCAATATGGCATACTTATTATCATATAACATTCGCTTGGCGCCATAATAATTAGTTACCATACTTATTTGTAAATTATATTACAATCTTAGATTTTGATATCAAAATTGTTTACTGTGTTTGCTTACGTCTACATACATATTTTTTTAAGTAAAGAAATCCAATGTTTACTTAGACAAAAATGTTTATGACAATGACATATTCAAACTTATAGCCAAAACTATGTGTCGCAACGAATATGCCATAAACAATTACAGTTTGTATGGAATTATATATAACATAATATTTGGTGCGTTTTACAGTAAAACCAGTGCATTATGACACTTTACAGGAACATACGGTATTAAAATGCTTTTATTATATTAAAAGTTTAGAATTGCCTATTATCAAATATATTGTGCAAGATTAAATGTTTATTAACACAGAATAACACCATTCTCTTTATGTATTTTTATTATTTATAAAAATTGGTTTTTGTATTAGTATACAAAAACCTGAATTTCAAATGAAATAAATAATAATTTGAAACTAGGTCATAAATCAACATACAGTGTTTTTTATTTCAGCCATAATTATGGACAAACTCTAATTTACGTTGTGGTCTATTACAGAAATATATTTGAATCAATTTTTAAAATTTGGTTGCCAATTCCAATTCAATTTATGTATACATATGTATAGATATATATAATATATATATATAAATGTTGTCTAACCTACATAAGCTGATAATTAAGTAAATTAACAACAATGTATAGAATTATAAAAGATGAACTAATGGCCTGCCCTTTAACAAAATGATAACCTGAAGAATGAAGTATAAATGAATATAATGAAATTACAACAAGCATAATTATTCTAATTTGCTTAAAACATTCCAGAATAAATTTAATCCAGTTTCCATTTTTTTCCAGAACATTATTAAGAAATTTACATATTGTGTTAAGAGAAATGAGTGTGAGACGAGATACTAAGGAAATTCTAAATAGATCACATCTTAGACCGTGAGATAGTGACACAAAATAGTGGGTCATTTGTACCAGTAGTTTTTTTTATTGCGTAATAAGACCCCCGAAGAACCGCCATACTGGTACAAATGACCCACTATTGTGTCACTAACTCCCGGTCTATCTTGATTACTTTGTAGATAGAGATCAATTAATCATATTTGATCATGGAATGAACAGGTATATTTTTTGGTATGTTCTTACGTCCATTTAACGATTCTAGTTCGATTATTACCAGACAACCAAGGACCTCGGCTCCACTATTTTGTAACAATTGTATAGCTGCATTCAGAGAACCACCCGTAGCTATTAAATCATCAATAATAACACATTTTAGTCCAGGTTTCATAGAATTTTTCTGGATCTCCAATGTGTCCTGAAAATTTATAGAAATTATATAAGTACCACATACTTTTTAGATTCATTTAATGAATTGATGATTGAAGATATTCATTTCTAAGATATCATAGTACATAGACTTTACAATCAGTATCAAAAATATATTGTCATATCTTGATAAATTTAACCTTGACTATTGTTACTTGATCTGACATTAACCTTCAGAATTGATATTGCGTGTTTATACATATCTGGAAAATAATAGAGTAATACCATGTAATTACCCATTAACATTTACATTTATTGAATATTTTAAAAAAATATCTTAGTTTGTTAGGCACTATAAATATGTTTTAAAATAAAGTATTTACAAAATATAAAAAAAATATATCCAGCTAATCAAAGTTGAGACAGGTTGCTAGTATTATATAATGCTAATGTATGATGTATATTATGTACGTATGTATGTGTGAAGAACAAAATTTAATTAATATTACTGAATTGAATATTGGCTCATACATATATATATAGATTCTTACCGATCCATACTCTAAATCATATTTATATGATATAACTTCTCCAGGCAGTTTTCCTTTCTTCCGTACTGGTAGGCATCCTATTCCCATCTCTGCTGCTATAGAGAATGAAAAGAGAAAGCCTCTTGACTCCAGCCCAACCACAGCTTCCACATCAGGATATTTGTAACGTATTGTCTCAATTAAGAGTCCTTGTAATAGTTTACATGCTGCGCCATCTGATATTGCTGAGAAAATATCCCTAAAAATTTATTAAAAATTAAGGACTTTGAAATTATTTCATTAAAAGTAGGGACAGATGGTGACAGCTGTGCATATGTGCGATAAAGAGTTATTTCATGATTAATTCAGTCAATAGAATCACCCCTGAATAAGGAGAACTGTACAGATGATTTATATATTTATTAGATAAGAAATACATCAAATTGTATAAAATCACTAATTAATTAAATATGTTAGGATAGGTTTTAAAAAATTTAGGTTAGTTATTTAGGTTACAAAAAATCATTTCTTAAACCTCAATGTTGCATTTTAAATATTAGGTTTATGTTAAATTGCCCCTATAGTTAAGTGGTTAACATATATTATAGATTTCTTTTATAAAATAGATACAGAAGACTATCTGCCTCATGCCCATTATCTTCTAGATAAAAGATATAAAATAAACTAAGATCTATTTTAAATGCAGAATATCTAGCAAGACCTCTGGAGATCATATTTTAAACTCAAACTCAAAATATCTTTATTCATATAGGTAAACAAGTACACTTATGAACTTATTTAGTATGAGATGTTGCAAGCTTGTTGCTTGATAGCCTTAGATTCAATCATTAAAATGTATTTAACTTGTATGTGACCTTTGAAACTATTTTATAAAAAGAAAATTAAAGGCCAAAAATATGTTAAGTATTAATCATTCACTTACCAAAATAAAATTCCTTGTTTAGGAAAATTTGGAAAATTCTTAATTTTTTTTACAAGTTCAGCGATTTTTTTTTCATATTCTGTACCCATCGTCATTTTTCTAAAATATGTATCAATTTATCTATATAGTATTTATAATATTTATTAGTTGATAATAACGAAGTCTATTTAATTACTCCGTTTCGAATACCAAACTGTACAAAACTGGAAAGTGGAAACAGTGAATGATAATTGATCATTGATAGCTGTTTACTGTTATGAGTTATGACTTTGACACAGTCCGTCAGCTTTCGTATCAGCCAATGCCAACAATGGCACTATCTGGGAAAATGAGAAAGCGCTCTACAAAAGAAACAATCAGCTATATCCAGATGAAAATTACCTGATTGAATAAATATCTATCATATTGTTAGTTAAAATTATTCAACGTTAGCAAACTTTTATTGGGTTTTTTTCTTGTTATTAATGTTAATAACATCAGTATCTATAGACATATTATATTATTATAATAATGGCTATCTATTAAATTAATTAGAATATAAAGCTACACTGGGTACATAACCTAATGTAAAAAAACAGTTTTTTACTATTTTTTTTCAAGGGACTTCTGGTTTTTCTTTAATGGTAGCACTGTGTACAAAATAATGAAGTTGTGAACTGTGAAGTCAAAATCTACACACACAACAAAATCTCAAAATCGTTTTGCTGTTTCTTTTCCACCACCCGATTCATTTACAAAAGTTTAGTGTTTGAATTAACGTAAATAGTTCTTGCTGAAAAGAGATCTACTGCAAAAAAAGCTAATTGTGCTGTATAATCATCAATTACGAAGAGACTCCAGAGCAAAATCGACGCTTGTGATATTAACATTTGAACGAGATAGAGACTCTTACTATGCGATATTGACGCTTTTGTGTTGTGATATTAACATTATTAATTTAATTATTGTAGTTTAATAAAATTGTTACACATATACACTCCTTGTTTTATTTCTCTACATGAAATTATTCCTTAAAATTCTGTACTTGCATACCATTTTAAATTCTCGCGCCATACGATAGTACCACAGTACCACTGGCATTAAATGGAGCGCTGGTGTAAGCATTTTTTTACTATGAAGTTGTTGTTTTTCTTCGCTAGAAGTAATAGTGTTCTGTGGTTTTGACCCAGTGCGCGTCAGGCTTAAGTAGTTATTTCATTTGTAAAATTTAAATTATTTTATTAAGTTGATTTCATACAATGTTAAAGATTAAAGGCCAGGAAGTAGGTTTAGTGGAGTAGGAAGATTCATCAGTCAATAATCATCACTCAACACAATGTAAACACCCAACATATTGCGAATGATCACATGACAAAACCTAATTTGTCGTTGACAATTGACATCTAGTGTTTAGATATAGGGCAGACTTCACAGATCAAGCACTAAGCAGAGGTCAGACTTGCTCTATTCGTGTGGATACGATATAATTCTTAGATAATTAAAGTACTTACAACCCTTTAATCTATATATAGTAAAGGAAATAAATAATGATTTATCACGAACATTGCAGCTGTTACAATTTGCCACACGCTGACACTTGAAAGTGCACAGCATGCTGACGCAGAGATAACAGCTGATATGAAATTTAAAATTAACCGTTTTCTTATGTATAATTTCTTTATGCATTTGACATTACAATGTTTACAATAGAAAATTAAAACTTATAGAAAAATCAGTATTACTAAATCTAAATTGTTTTTCAACGACTTCATTTATATTCGCAATTTGAAACAACAGTGCTTTGTGCGCCAGGCTGAATCAAACAATGTTATCAGATGATATAGAAAAATTAATTGAAGAGAAACGGCGGGAATTAGAAAATGAAAAAGCTGTCTTAGGGTTATCTCAGGAAAAGGATCTCTTAAACAGCAAGGTATATCAGCATTACATTAAACGTTCATGCACTTTCTAATAAACTTACAATTTTGTCTATTAATAGGAAAATCTTATAATCGTAACATGTATTACGCATCTCTTAAGGTATTATTTGTATTTATATATTTCACAGCAGATAGTTAAACTCAAGATAATTTATGATTTTTTACTAACCTTTAGGGTTTATACTAAGGATCTACGTAAATATTGAGTATATAAAATGCGTATGCGTACTGTGACATGGCAATTTGATGCTTATTGACGGCGCGGCATAATCGGTGTATTGATCTACAGTGCAGACGTTTCGCTCTCTGAAATACCTAGACTTGTAAAATGTAAATATAACACAGGTCAGTGTACTGCAATCGTCTTTCAGTACTGAAAGCCTGTCTTGTTCCAAAAAAAACACGAAACTGCAACGTCTACTTGATGCAGCTGTAAAGGGTAATTTTTCGTTTGAGAAAATAATGTAATGTGTATATTTGTATGCCTAAATGGCATCAGTGGACAAGAAAGTTTTGATAAAACAATCTGGTGACTAATTTAATTGCCTGAGATTAAAATAACAATTTTATAAGAACAATTTTATAAGTAACAATTTTCACTCAGGCATGAAAATAATCCTTTTTTCCATGTTAAATAGTTACTTTAAAATCCTAGATTTGTCTAATTCAGGTTTTGAGAATTTTATGTTATAAATATTTCTCACAATTAGAATTTTGATTGTTAACATTAATATGCTTCTTATATATCTTACATTCAACTATTAAAAGCTATGTTTATTGAATAAATAATTTCTTTTAAAAAACAAATTAATATATATTTAGACATTAAAACATTCTAACTACCTTTTAAAATTCAACCTTAGTTTATCACATTTGTAATGTAGACCAATTAGGTTTTAAATATGGATCTATTCATAATTTATTAATTGCTTATAGATGTAGATACTACTAACCTTTCATATAGCCCCTTACCTAGTTATTTATTGATAACACATTATGGCGTTCCTAATAACGAATCATAATAAGAATTTCTATTATTCAGTATTGAGGAATGGGTCAAAGCTTCTAAAGAAATTTACTTTTATTTTAACATTACTTAATTGTTAATTATTTTTTTGCTATCTGTTATTTACATTTAGCATATTGTGGAACCAAATATATATATTTAGCTGTTTCTACTTATGTTCCGAGAAATGTTTTTTTTTATTTAAATGGCATAAACAAACTTCATGCGACTACTTCTCTAGGTATGTTATACTTAATCATTTTTATAGAACGAGGAAAACAATGAAAACATAGAAGCACCACACAGTGTGAAGTTCAGCAGAAGGAGAGCTCTGTCAGAAAACAATGAAACAACTCACGAGGAAAGTGAAGAAAAAGATATTTCTCCTGACTTAGAGAGATACATACGGGTAAGCTAAATTGTTTGACTGGATACTGTAACATTTAATTTGTTTCTTTGCATTATCTTTTCTGGTTAAAGAAATTATCATTAAAACAAACAATGTTTTAGAATTATAAATGTTACTCTTAAACATAAACATATAAAATGTGAAAGATATCTTATAGACTTTTAAAATGGAAATAATCATTTCATACATAACTAGTTATATTATGTAAAGGTTTCAATATATTATGTGAAAATATTCAGTCCCATTTTTCGGGTATCTTGTTTTTGTATTGTACATAACCAATGTAATAAATGCTTCATGGAATTATGGGAAAGTGTTTTTAAAATTGATCAAATATATTTGAGATTATTCAAACATACAAAAATGAAATATATCCTTTTCATTATATTAGTGTCGATGATTAAATCAAACCTAGAGAGAAGACTTGAGGTCAGATAAGGATGAATTCATTATTGGCAATGCCATATCAACTAAACTGAGATAAATCTTCGCCTACGCCACTTACAAAAAGCATGTATATATTTTGTTACCCATCTTAATTTCTATATAACGTAAGATGACATCGTAACTTAGCTCTTAGAATTAATAAATAAAAGTTAGTTTGATTTAAATATTTTTTAGTTCAAAGAAATAAAAATAATTTTATTGACCCAATAAAAGAACATTGGCGGTACAACCTTTTAAGTCTGAGCCTCAGATTTGTTTCTTCTAATAGACCAGTTGGTGATCAGTCTTCTGTGCCTGGCACACGCCGTGAACTTTTTGGGTGTAAGGCATGCCGGTTTCCTCACGATGTTTTCCTTCACCGTACGAACGAGTGTTAAATGCGCACTAAAACACAACACAAAGTCTATTAGTGATCTAACAGTCCAGCCGGGAATCGAACCTCAGGGACGAGAGTCGCACGCTGAAGCCATTGGCTACTATTTACCCTGTCTGAAATACTGTAATGTACTGAATATTACGTTCATCGAATTTGTAATCGAGATTTAACGTAATCCGGAATTAAAAACATATGTTCATTATCAAAACTAATAATGAATTGACTTTTTATATCATGTCTTTATTAATATTTACTCGCCTTTCAGTTTTTTGGACAAAGGATTTACAGGCGTTTAAATTCGTTTATAAAATTAATGAAGACCATTTTTAATGTCTAGGATTTTATGTAGACCAGTTTAAATTTTATTATCTATGTATAACGATTTACGAATCATATATTATATTCGAGTTAACCACTAAGCGTATCAGATAACAGGTATGGTATTAGCTATTAATATAAAACCGTGATTACAATAGGAGGTATTGTACAGTCTTAACATCCTTATGGTACTTTTCCGCAGAACCCTAAACTTTGTGTGAGAGTCAGAGAGGAGACTTAATGCGAATGATTACCAGCTACCCACTAAAGTATTTCCAAACCAATTCCACTTAGGGTCCTTCAAGAAAACAGCGTACCAATTCTTTAAAGACCAGGCAAAGCACTCGCGAGCCCTATCACTTAACATCTGGTGAGCCTCCAGTCGATTGCTCGTTAGTTCTATAAAAAATGTAAAAATCCAATGCATTTGCTCTAAGTCTCTTTTCAGAATCTAACCCTTAAAGTAAATCTACTTTTGTAAAGGGTAATGGGATTCCATTAAGATTGCTTTAATACAAATTCGATAAGCGGCCGCGAAATCGACTGATTATTATGTTTCCAATTATTATCTTATATTTTTTTGATTTGCCAAATAACATTGACCCTTAAATGTAAACTTAAGGATAAAAGCTAGAGAACTGAAATACGTAGAAACAGAAATCCTTATGTTCATTAAAAAAAGCTAGTCAAAATTATTAATAAATTAAAAATAATAATTCAATTGTTTTTTGTCGATGTCGTATTTATGTATTGAGTTCTTACTGTTACAGTTTACAAGGAACGAAGACGAAAAGGTGTTTTTATATGAAAATTCCTTTTCATAACATCGCTTTAAATCTCGTAATTAATATTGTATGACTGCCTGCAGATGTAGATATTACCGCTAATCGTATAAGAATACAATGCATTGTTTGACCAAGGACACGAGCTGTGACTGTTCATTACATATTATAATAAAATATGTACTAACATTAAACGGAAATATAACAGGCACTTAAACAAAGTTTGTTATTTTATAAACTCCAAAAAATTTATTCGGCGTTTTAATCTCTGTATAGTTTGACGACCGTTCAAAGAGATATTGAAGAAGACTCGATAATAAAATATATTAAAAAAACTGTTTAGGTATTATTACACAAATACGCACTTCGAAGTTTGAAAAAAAATTTAATTGTATTTTTATACAAGACAACGTTATCGTAACGATATATTAACGACTTATTTTTTAATGTAAATGTTATCACCTACGTAAAGCAGTCTATTAGAAGGATCGGCATGTACTTTCAAGAGAGGTTCGGATACTGTGGAAATTTTTTAACGAGGCCGATAAAAAAAACAACTGTTAATAATTAAGCGCTACCTATTTATTGTATTGTTTCAAATAAAATTCTGAATTATAAAACACAAGATCTACAATACAATGCAATATTTGGCGGTCCGAGCTTGGACCTTCCGTTGTCCGCCTGTTACCTTTGTTCTACGACTCGTACGACTCGCTAGATTAGCTTCTAGCATTAGAATAGAAGGCGGTTCTTCTCTTCTGCTATAGAAATAAAGAAAATGATTCAGTGGCGTGGCAAGTTTAGGAGCAGGGCCGCGTTACACTCTTTGCCATCATAATTATAGTATTAGAATTGAGGACGATCTCAATTTTTGAGACAAGAATCAGGGTAATTGTTGACGTATGTCAGGCGCAGAAGGCTGATCAACATGCCTTAAGAAACACTCTATGTAACAGATGTAAAATGCATCTGCCTCATTGGAAGTATAAAAGAAGTTCGAAGGTGCTTGTGAGAGTAATTTACCTCTCACGTAACTTATAAAACCAAGTGAGTTTAAAACTCAATGCAAACAGCGTAACCATTAAATGACGCAAGCATGCACAAAATGTGGCACCGGGCATTGTTTTGCTGAATGGCTTTGTGTGTTCTTGGCACGAACATTCTTTTAAGTTTTAACCCCGCATACATCGAATTTAAATTCAACTCTTTTGAAGTTTAAGGTATACTTGAACAAGTTTAAAAAAAATGTTTATCTTGAACTAAATGCAACTTATTACGAATGGGGTGGGAAAGATCGTTCGCGACATGATATGGGAAATATGTACAATGTACATATAAACCATGCACTACTCTACAGCGTCAATGGACCAATCACAATTAAGCGACACTATACGTAGTTCGTTTTTCACGTATGCATTGCACTGTCAACCAATTTCTATAGGCCTGCCGAACGCTTGAATATAAATGGAAATCTGCGAGGAAAAAATAAAATAAATAAAATCGGAAAGGTTCCCGTACGATAAACATACTGTAGTACTTTCTTTTTAATCTAGTACTTTCTAACCCATTTACGGTTTTATTGTGATAGTAAAAGAATTAATTATAAACTCGGTAACATCTGTATTGCCAATAATTGAATATTCATTGCAATAACTCGTAGTGTGAAAACGTTTACTGCATAGCACTTTCGCACCGAAGCGTACAGTTTCAAAAGAAGCGCCGATGGTTATGGTGCTATTGTTGAAATATTTACATGAGTGTACCCATTGTGTGAATTGGTTTTTTAGTGTAATATTAAAATAGAATTAGTGAAGTTAATAAAAAGATCATGTTTAGATCGGAGGTAAGGGTTTTTTTATTTAAATAGTTATCTTCAGAAATATAATTTGCGTTAACTTGGATAAAATTTAAAAAAAATCCTTATTCCTTCCAATATACGAGAAACTTACGAAAATATTTTTAGCTATTTACATATAAAAACGTAATAGTTTTTACATTATAAGTATTTCGTAGTAAGTTTCGTATAAGTATTTATATGCATTTTAGTAGTTTTATAATTAATAAAGGATACACCTGGAATAACGTAATAATATTTTTAGACTTGTATATATAACTAAAATTAACAACATTAATCATATTTAAAGTTTTAAAGCTTCAAAGTAAAAGTTAGTTATTACATGCTTGCTGGATCGAATCTGATGTGTGATCGTTAAATTGATTGTTCATTTTTGTGCTAATAAAATAAAACGTTACCTAAGAATTATTATTAGACTTAGAAGAAATCGTATAATATGCTAGGGTGAAGTAGAAATTATTAAGAGCATAGAATATAATTATATGTTAGTGGCCGCGTGTTCGCTCAGTCGAGAAATTCAACTTGCCATTAATCTGAATTCGAAATTCGAATTTCAATTTCGAAGTTTAAATTACGTATTAAGAGTGGGTATGCCTGCAGCGAGATTAATAAAATATAAGCTCTGCAGCAATTTCAGTGAATTTCTGATAGTACTAAAGTTATGTAATTTAGATTCCACTATAAATTCAAAGTTTTGTTGGTTTGTTAACATTTTACGCTGATAAATAACTATTATTATAAATGCAAGAATTGTTTTAAACTGATTTTGATTAATTTTAGTACTTGGTAGATGTAGTAGATGACATTAATGGATGATTATTTTATCGTAATATACTTAAATATTTTTCAACAATTTTATTCGATTTGACAATTCAGCTTTAACCTATGGATATGTATACATAAGAGTTTATGCCCGATAGCGAAACAAAACCGCACCCTTTAACCTGTCACACCCTAGGAACCACCCTAAAATGTCCACACCCATTGTTTAAATGACCCAAAAGCGTTTATGTTAAATAAGTTTGGGTTTTTTGTCGATATTCCTAGTATTAAGATTGCAACTTATTAGAAGGCCCAAATCTTTCAGCCTCTTTGGATTTATAAATAATTTGCATGGTCAATAAAAATTATAACCGTTACATGTATTAATTGTTAAAAAATAAAATCATACCTTTGTATCTGGGTCAGGTCTAGAAAAGTTTTAATAATTAAATGAATACTACCGCGTATATTGAAAACTTAAATGTGCTAATTCTCGTCATTTCAATGCTCGCACTACTCACTGCGCTCACTATATTTTGGATTTTGACATAATAGACTCATAGTTCGCGCTAAGTGTCGACTCTGAAGATGAGATTAGATTCAAGAATGTTTTCTAAAAGGGGTAATAGAATAGACACATTTATACGTCTTGATTAATTGACCTATTGTGGCATTGGGCCTTTTACCTCCGCCCATAAACCCGGGAAACTGTGTCATAGAGAAAAAACCCTAGACCTCCTTAGGCTTATATGTCGTGCGTTTCCACTGAGGTAAATGTTACAATATTCGTAAATATAATAGACTGAATTAATGATACTATTTTTTAATCTCCTTAAGTAAACTTATGTTAGCTGCTCTGTGATCACGTCATGCCGGAAAATAGTCAAGGGCGAATAATGGTGCCAGCCTTCGATAGTGTAACCTTCAGACTTTAATGACGTCATTTAATTAGTTATTTTTGGCAATTTAACTTAATACAAACGAAGTTCAAATGTTGGCGCCTATTTGTATTATGTCAATAACCTTCTAATGGGGTGGCAGATATATTGTTTGGCGGGCCTTTTTTAGTGGTCGACATTTTTCTCATACACGTCATTAATTTTTGGATCTAGTACATGCTGGTTTCGTTATGTTTTTTTTGTTTCTTTCACGAGTACAAACAAAGTCAAAATATATTTATTAATTTTAGTAACTTTTGCACAGTAACTGTGCAATGTTATGAATGCCAAAAAAATAACTTTATAATAATAATAAATTACTTTTACTTTTAAAATGTCACTGACAAAAAAAACTCTCCTACACTTTTTAATTTCCGTTTATATCTCGTATTTGGAGCTGCGACTATAACACCTTGCTCCTCATGGCATAAATCATAATAAAATGCGTGTCCTAAGAGCGCGTTATAGTAGGCTTTTTATTTAAATAACTCGTAAAATATACAATATTTAATTTAAACCCCTAGTAACAGCTCTCAGCCAAACTAATTCAATTAATTTTTGTCTCCATGATTGTTAAGAGTTGACTTAGTGTTTTTTTTTGTATCAAGAAATTTATATTGTATTTTGTTTTTAATAAGATTCAACCATTGAAATTACAGTGAAGGATCAATACATATTCATGGTTTTTAATTTTATCTAAATATGTGATGCTTGAAACATATTTAGATGAAATCAAATCTACGATGAGTGATTATGGTTATAACCCGATTTTAATTGCGCACATATCGTTTACCTAACACTGGTCTTTTATTCTATGACACATTGTCTACACATATATTATATATATACTAAACATAAGTAAAGGACATAGGACACGTAGGTGTAATCACAGAGCACTGACCCTTTAATATACATATGGCGTGACCGGGCAATTTTAATTACCACGAAAACAAGTTCAAAACGAACCATGGATGATTAGGTACTTCTGTGATTTGTCCAAACAATTACAAAACAAACAAAACCTCTTTACCTTACCCATCCACGATTCGTTAGTTATAAATCTTTTGGCTTTAACATTTTACATATTTACTTTAATCATTCGTATTAGACCTTTGTAATAGATAAAAGTTAATGATGATTTATATACAAATAATACTGTTATTTTATTTACGTTTAAAAAAATAGAGGGACAATTTTAAAGGGAATTTAATAACAAAGAAGGCTTAAACATTATATCAACATGAAATATAGATCCAATTAGCCAAATATAAGATAGATTTCTCATATTATATTTTCTGTGTTAGTTTAGACTATTATAAATCCGTGGAGCGTAGAAAATACAGGCTCGGCTTTAATTTCCATATAATATTAATTTCCAATTTCTTTTGGTATCATTTTCCGCTAGTTAGTAGATCTCTCCAATTATCCGTAATGCGTTTGTTGCAAATGAATTAAATCATTGGAGCGCGTTAATGCGACACTGAATATTAATGCCATTTGTTCCGGCTTAATTAAGCTGTACAAAGAATTTTAGGCCGTATTTCAGTATTTAACGATCTGAAATCATCTTGTTATATGATTCGTGACACCATTTCTCTAACAGTGCTTAGTCAAAAGCTTGGCAATTTAAAACAGTGACGGAGAGTTTATTACCAGTTCTTCTCGTCCGTTCTACTGACAGTATATATATATATTGGCTGGTCTAAGGGTAAGATACAGAAATGAGACTAAGGGTCTGTTTCTCAATGTATGGATAAAGTACCAAATAGCTATGCAACACATAAATTATTTGGAAGATAAATTGTGCTATTTGAGATTCATCGGACTCATAACTTATGATGGACTTTATGTGACGATTAGCGCTATCTGACAGTCGTGAAACGCAACAATAGTGTTTATCCTACCAATAAGTAATAAATAGCTAATTTGGAACTTATGTAGAACTTATCCGTACATTTTGAAACAGACCCTTAGCGCTACCTGACTTCCGTTCGTCAACAAGTATTGAATTTTCACATTTGGGGGTCATAGTTTGCGCTAAGGTCAAGCGCATACTTTAATATGCCATTATTTCATACGCTTCCTTTCGAAAAAAATGTTTCCAGACAACTATAGAAAAATTATTTAATAAAAAATTTACGCCCTAACAAAAATATGATTAAACCGTCAATATGGTCACACCCTGATATCGTCGCGACTACTTGAATGTGGAACTAACACGCCACAATTATAAAGCAGAACATTGCATGTTACGCGCGATGCGCCGCGTAAAATCAGGATCAAATAGGATTTCATGATTGCAATAATAATATACGTTATTGCGGCTAGGAATTCCTTTATTTCTTTTTAAATCTAGAGTTATTTACTTATTCCTGAACGGGCTTTTAAAAAGAAACATTTTTCGACATGCGACCCGATAACGCTCAAGAATTGTATAGGTATGACATTAGCTCACACGTCGCGTGACCGTTTAAATGCCCGTCGAAAAGTAATTTTGTCTCAAGCAAGTACAGCAATTCTGTGGGATGAGAAAGTATAACTACAGATGAAACTGCGTTTGATTATGATTGGAAAACAGATGTTGACCAATCATAAGCGGAACGCGCGTTTCGTCTTTCGTTCCCACCAGGTTCTTGTTTATTTGTAATAAGTTAAAGCAAAAACCACTCAAACCAGGCGTCATAACTTTAATATTTGTTTTGCTCATGTCAGGCTAAGATTCTTTCGGCTGGCATTCTGAACTGAATATTTTGGGGGGGGGTCCTTTTGTAAAACGTTACGAATTACGATGCGAGGCGGGGGTTGAATTACGTGTTATTGTGAATATTATTTTCGACTTTCCAGTACTTTACACCACATAATGGTAACTTTTAGTATAAAGAGTCACTAGGTAGTCACGAAACGTTTCAGAAAAACGTTACGGCGCGATACATGGGGGGGTGTCAATAATCTCCAAAAATTGCGTGACGTAGTACTTGAAAACGCTCCCTCAGTCTTTAAAGTGCACTTTTAAAATATAACGAACTAGAGGAGAGAAAGAGTAAGGAAATTTTTATAATTTCAGCGCTACCTCGGTCTTCCAGTTATGTTAAAGGCAGGTGAGTATTCACCCAACAACCCGCTGATACGAGGGGAGCGGTCAACCGGCGATGTTCTTCTTGGGTTGGGGGAGTATGAGCGACGGAGGAATACGCTGCGCAAGATACGACAGAGGCAGTATAAGGAGTATCTTGATGAGGTATTTTTGGAGTTTACATAATGAGCACTTAAAATAAGTAGTTTTGTGTATGTAAGGAACCGGAATTTTATTTAAAGAGTATTTAAACCGAGCAGTGTTGGCGTAGTTGCTTCAGCGTGCGACTCTCATCCCTGAGGCCGTAGGTTCGATCCTCGGCTGCGCACCAATAGACTTTCTTTCTATGTGCGCATTTAACATTCACTCGTATGGTGAAGGAAAACATCATGAGGAAACCGGCATGCCCTAGGCTAGGTGTCTATAGTAATAGTCAAATGCAGTGTCTGTGACAGATACAGAACTCTGAGGCCCAGACCTAAAAAGTTGTAGAGCTACTGTTTTTTTTATAAGTTATATGGAATTTTCACCCCGTAATGGCAAAGTAATCTAAATGGTATATAAATCGAATGGTAGATATTTGAAATTTGAACAAAACTTTAGACATTCATTATTATCTATTTAAGGCTTTTATGAATGAAAGCGGATTACTTACTTCTTACTTTGATTCCATGTCGACTTAGCAAGCGAAAATAAAACAAGAAGAGCGAGAAAAGGCAGAACGCGAGAAAAAGGAGAGAGAAGAAAAAGAAAGACTGGCTGAAGAAAGAGAAAGAGAGCGCGAACGGCTGGAGTTGGAGAGAGACAGATATAGTCCAGAAAGACGACGAGCCAGCTTCACTTGCAGCAATGTTTCTGGTGCTAATAATGCGTATAATAGGTAATATGGCGGATGTTTTTTATATTAACAATTAATAAAATATCTTCTATCACGAACTGTAATATACTCACGAATTTTTTTTTTAAATAAAAATTAAATCAGTTAAATTAACTGTCTTCTATGAAATATGTATATTAAAATTTGAAAATAAATTTTAAAGTAACAAATGAATATTTAAACATTTAAAATCTCAGTAGGCTAAGTCGATTTTCGATTTCAATCAATTGTTGTGATATGATTTTTTTCGCGTAATTTATGAAAAAAATTACACTTACAAAAAGCCTCCTTTTTAAAGTCGGTAAACATGCTAAAATGTGGGTTATAAAAAAAACAAACTTACTAAAATAATCTTACTACACTAAAGTTGGTAGTAGCTCTGTTGCTTTGGAGTTGACCAGGTCTCTGTATCAACCTACTAATTGAATTTGCTGCAAGTACTTGAATTATATTTTATATAGAACCCTATCTTTTTTATTTTTATTATTTTCCCGTGTTTTCATATGTAATGGAGGGTGGTGGACTCTAAAAATATTCCTATACTACGAGAAATTAATAAACAATAGAGTAGAGACCACGACTAACCAAGTTTATTTTGCCCTAATTGTTTACCTTTTATTTTAGTTATAAATGGGCTCCATACCTGTAGTCAGTAGTTCTGGCAGATCACTCGGTAATGCCTGTTGTGGCTGATACATATAATTTTGTTGAATATAAAACCAATGAATATAATATATAATATATACTCGACTTGCTATCGTATTCATTTCAAGGCCCCAACTGACCCGATGATCGTTGATGAAATCTATTTTGCATCTTGCCTTAATGAATAATTTGAATATTTCAGTAAAGTGGATACAGCAGTTCAAGTAGACAGACATACGCCGCTGTCCGTTGCAGTGCAGACGGATGACAATGATTTATTTCCCACAAGAACAGGAATATCGGTATGAATTATATTATTTTACCGTAACACGACGTCTTGGCCGTTAAAGAAAAAAATTAAAAATAACCTCCTGATTAATATGATAAAGGGAGCGTTCAAGTATTACGTAACGCAATTTTTGGAGATTATTGGACCCCCCATGTATCTCGCTGTAACGTTTTTTAGTACCCTAGTACAGTACTGTACTCAAGTATAGTAAAACGTTTCGTGACCACCCTGTATCTCTTTAGTTACTATTATGTGGTGTAAGTCGAAAATAATATTAACAAAAACGCGTTATTCAATCCCCGCCCCGCATCGTAACTTTTACAAAAGGACCCCCCTTCTAAAACGCGTTACGTAATACTTGAACGCTCCCAAAGTAGAACCCGATATTAACTGGTGTTCAGACTAAATGAGCGTCAATTGTTTTAAGATAACTTATTATTATACATTTTATTTATTTACACTTTGCTTACAAAAAATAATAAACATAATATATGTGAGGAGTTAGGGCGCCTCTCATTCCAATTCTTCGAGATTATATCGGATTAAACAGAACTTATCCGGTCCATTCGTTTGAAGGACCATCATAGATTACGACTACGACTGTATAATGTTGATATTTTATTTCGTGTAAGAGCTTTGTTGACCTTGCGGATAGACGCCGGTACGTCTTAGACCCAAAAAGTCGGCGAGAGAGTACAATAGGCAGATCACCTACTTTGTTATTAAGAAAAATAACGCATCACGGAACAAATATAGAAATACTAGCTGACCCGGCAAACGTCGTTTTGCCATGTGTATTATTTCTAGGAAAAAAATGTTTTGTTCAAGAAAAATAACTATCTACTATAATAAAAAATAGGGGTTGATGGTAGAGGGGTGACAATTAAGGGTTGTATGTATTTTTGTATGCTGTATCATAAAAAAATAAAAACGAAAAGTTTTGTCTAAAAAATAAAAATTTAGGGGTCTACCCTTAACATTTAGGGGGATGAAAAATAGATGTTGTCCGATTCTCAGAGATACCCAATATGCAGACAATATTTCATGAGAATCGGTCAAGCAGTTTCGGAGGAGTTTAACTACAAACACTGCGACACGAGAATGTTATATATTAGATGAAGTCCAGAGGTTGTAGCGCGACCTAGTATCAAAAAATCCGGTAGTAGCCGGGGTTGAAACGTAAATTCAAATTCAAAAATCATTTATTCACGTAGGTAACACAATGTACACTTGTGATTCGTCATTAAAGAAATACATATTAATGCTTCTAATTTTACATTTACTGCCAGTTCACAAATCAAGGGCGTAGAACGGAAGAGAAGAACTGGCAATAAACTCTCCGCCACTCTTTTTAATCGCCATGTTTTTTTTACACAACGTTTGTAAGGAGCTGCAACCATTACACCATGTTCCACATGACATCTTAAGTAATTAATAATAATAACATAAATTAAAAACAAAGACTTGTCCTCTATCAGCAGGAAGCATGGTGAAATAGGAGCACGCACTTACATTCTCGTGGGAACAACACGCAAACACGCTTGTGTTATGGGTACGATGTGAATGTTGAGAAGCTCGCAGTTGTCCGCCGAACACCGATCTAAAATTTGTTATTAATCCAATATTATAAAATTAAACTTATAAACATAAACTAATAATAATAAAATAATATACATTGAAATAAATAACGAAACTTAACATAAACTAAAATATATCATTAAAAGGAGTCCCTTTAGGCAAGGTTCCGAAGATACTGGCAGCGTTCCCCCTTTGAATTGCTAGACTAATTCTTTGTCCGAGGTAGCTGCCAGATCTTCGGTCTCCTGTGATGTCGACTAACCTTTTTGAAATTTCTTTAAAAAGCCTTAAAGCGCTAGGACCCCACGGACCAAGGGTCTCGACACCGAATGGGACAAAATCATATTCAGAGCCCAGACCCCTGTATTTGCCTGCTTTATTTTTTTCAGCCGCTTCACAAGCCGCACCAGCTCTGTAGTTGGTTCCATGTAGATGGGAAGGGGCCAGCGTGTCTGAACAGGTTGCATCCCATACCAGTACCCGACCCATCTTCCATGGAATCAAACTCATACCGTCCGGTCTCTTGCCATCGTCTCTTGCAATACCACTTGGCTCAAGAAGACTTGGCACGTTGACGGTGGCAAGGGAACGGCGTATGATATCGTTAAGTGCGGCATGTCTCGAGAAGCGGCCTGCACTTTTTTGGCATGACAGGCCGTGATGTCCTAACTTGTCGACATCACTGCCACAGGGACATATATGAGGAGCGCAGACCGGAACCCCAAGCCGTAGACAGGTTAATAATATAAATGAACATTCAATATTTTTCAGCTACCCTCAAAACATCTCCTAACACAAGCGGAAAGAGAGTTGTCCCCTCGCACAGTAGACGTCAAACCGGCCACTTGGCATTGGTCGAGTAACCATGAAGATAGAGGCCGGAGAAGAAGGAGCTACGGCGATTTTGATGGTTAGTTCTTATTTATTGCTAAGGTATACAATACAATAACTAAAGTTACAAATAGTAATAAGAATTAAATTATAACCAGTACGTAAGGAAGACCGTCACCATATTACTATTTGTAACTTTAGTTATTGTATTGTATGACTTAGCAATAAATAAGAATAATAATTTTAACAAAATATATTTGAATGAATCGCTCTCAATTAACCAAGGTAACAACTCAAGTTACAAATTTTAAATAAAGTTAACTTTTTGAATGAGGGGAGGGGGTTTAACCTGTGATTACATAAATTCCAATAATTGTGTTACGTAAATTTCATAAACATTCCGAAATCTACGCAGACATTTTATTACCATATATAAGAACAAATGTGATTCCAGCTCGGACGTCGTCAAAAACAGACAAACAGACATATAGACCGTCAATATTGGATGCCGATGTTATATCATTGAGGAACTTACAAGCTGAAAAGGTAAAAATCTTTATCTAACAAATATAAATTCTCACAGAAATTGTTTATATGTACTTTAAGAAAACAGACCTCGTAGGGCCAATATGACATGTCATCAAAATTTAACATAGTAACCTTATAATGGCGGATGTAATAATAATTTTTACGAAGTTGGAACTGAACAATTGTGGTAGCACCTTTTTCGCCCAACTCCTGTTTCAGAGGCCATTTCATCTTTAACCACTTTTTTCTTTTTTTTTAAAAACCCCCCCCCCCCCCCGGGCCCCCCCCCCCCCGGGGGGGGGGGGGGGGGGGGGGGGGGGGGGGGGGGGGCCCCCCCCCCCTTTTTTGGGTAGATTAACATCTCAATTCCTCTCCCCCCCCCCCCCCCCCCCCCCCCCCCCCCCCCCCCCCCCCCCCCCCCTTTTCTCCCCCCGGGGGGGGGGGGCCGGGGGCCCCGGGGCCGTGGGGGGGGGTTTTCTCCCCCCCCCTTTTTGGTCCCCACTTTATCAAAAACTAAATGTTCACTCTCGATTTAAACTTTATACATTCACTAAGTAACATCTTCTAAACCTGTTATAAGTAAAACGCGTTCTAGTAAACGACTAAGTATTTAATAAAGAAAAATAAACAAAAGGACACTTGACATTGACAGTTTTAAAGCTGTCAGTGTCAAGTCCAATAATAATCAAAAGATGTCACTATGTACTACTTAATGATATCATTGTTTTTTTTATTATAAATGTTTTCTAGATAATTCCCCGACTATGTAGTCGTCGGAGGTATTGAATAGCTTATATAAATGGTATTGGTAACTCGGATGATTAAACACTATGTAGCCAAGTTCACATTTCAAGGATCGTCACGCTCGCTTAAATGTCATTGCTTGTGGCGGCGTCCATGCGTCGGGTTGTCTCTCTCCCTAAAATATGGCGAGGGGGCCGATGGCTGGCCATGCGTCATGCTCGTGAACGGGTGCTGCTTGTGGTGACTGGTCGTACTTGAATTCGTGTATGCGGTGATGTTGGTTATTTCGACTATGTGTAATTTATGTTATTATTATTAATTACTTAAAATGTCACATGGGACATGGTGTAATGGTTGCAGATCCTTACAAACATTTTGTAAAACAAAAAAATGGCGATTAAAAAGTTTGTTTATTGCCAGTTCTAATCTCCTCCTTCTACGCCCTTGATTTGAGAACTGGCAGTAAATGTAAAATTAGAAGCATTAATATGTATTTCTTTACTGGCAAGTCATAAGTGTACATTATGTTACCTATGTGATTAAATGATTTTTTATTTATTTATTTACTAATACCTACTTCTTTTAACAACTTTCTGTATGACCTTTACAGCAAATCCCAAAGAGATTCCTCTAAACCTAACATTATTTCCTTTAAATTCGTCTCTGTTACTTTTATGCCCATAGCTTGCTCAGTGTTATACATGTCGTATCCAGATATCATTCTTTGCAACACCTGTCTTATGCTCAAACCTATACTTGTTGTGCAACAATAGAAAAATTATATTGTGATTAGTTGAATTTATTACTTCAAAAACCTATTATCATCATGCGTATGTCAAATGGAAGAGACTAGCCTACGACACAGGGAATCCTAGTGCACTTCTCACTTTATTACATTATATTACTCTGTACAAGTAGCGGCACGAAAGTGCTAGCGCTGTCTCGTTTTTAGCAAGACGTAACTAAAAATATGGACCTGAGGGGCATATTTATCGTAATTAAGAGAGCATAATTGCTCTACGATTTGCTTTTTTGTCCCCTCGCGACAGTACACATGCGCAGCAATCCCAACTCACTTTTCGGCCAGCGCTAGGCTTACGTGCCGCTGCCTATATCATTTTTATTGTGTAATAAAGTGTTATTTCTTTCTTTTTAAACAATGACTTAACTATTTAATATCGATTACATATTTATTGTAATTATGAGAACATAATTTTACGATTTACTTTCTCTAAAATCCATCCATCCTAAACAATTTTTGTACAAAAGAGAAATGAACGTCGTTATAATGTTTCGTCAGTGAAACCGTTTGCTCTCTACCTTGAGATTCAAATGCAATGTTGTCCTTTTTTCGTTAGTAAACCTACCATAGAAACAAATCTATGAGCACTGTGTGTATAACTGAATTCGATTCACATATGTTGCAAGTCCGTACCGATTAATTTACATTAATTGATGATTCAGCAGGTCACCTCACTATGGAGCTATGACTGATATATGTCAAATATAATCTATTAAATTGGCCATACTATAAAAAAAATATGTGCTTTAAATAAAAATAACTTAAACTTTAGCATTCTTCTTTAGTTATTACTGAACTAATAAAAAAATATTCAACAACATGAAGTAGTTATTTAAAATTCATGAATTCTTATGAATTTATGTAAATTTAATTCTTTATGATATAGTAAACAAATTATATCGACTACTCCCCTCTTGAGAGCGAATCCAGAATCTCTAGGTCTTGGTTAACTGTTCCGAGCTAGTGGAAAAAAATATGAATGACAGACGTATTATAATTCGTAATTCGTTGTGTACCATCTGCAGGAGGCTGCAGCGCGACGTCAGTTCTATCAGCAAGAGTTACGTAATCAAATAGAAGAACAGCAAAGAATAAGAGAAGAGAGGAGGAATAGAGAAAAGTGAGTTAAGATACTTAAATTTAGATTCATTACAGATTACATTACAATAGAGCGTTTTGAACCGATACGATATAGGGTTGTACAAAAGAAGAACGTACCTCTACCTTAAATGCCAGAAATGCACTTGCAAGCCTCTTGGATGCAGGTGTCCACCGTAGAACTCAATTACTGAGCCGATTTTCATGAAACTTGAACTGTTTCTCAAGCTAGGTCGATTCAAATCAAAAGGATCTCCTCAATACAAGTCATTATTTTAGGTTCGCAGAAATTTGTGGACAAACATTTTAACGAAATGTTACATGAAAGCCTAAAAATAAGTTTAAACGAAAGACCTTTTGAAGAGGGGACTTCAAGTATTACGTAACGAATTGGCTTTTGTAAAACGTTACGATGCGAGGCGGGGATTGAATTAAGCCGTTATTGTTAATATTATTTTCGACTTTCCAGTACTTTACACCACATAATGGTAACGTTTAGGTATAAAGAGTCACTAGGTAGTCACGAAACGTTTTACTATTGGGCACAGAAAAACGTTACGGCGCGTTACACGAGGGAGGGGGGTCAAGAATCTCCAAAAATTGCGTGACGTAATACTTGAACGCTCCCATAGTTATAAATAAATGTTTCAATATTTTCAGAATGTTGGAACAAGCCGAAATGAGGCGTCTCGAACAACAACTTCGTTCGTTGAAAATGGCACAAGAAAGCGAAATTGATAGACATAGAGATATCAATAGTAAGGTAAGAATTCTAAAATTACCTCATTATAAATAAAATAAGTACACAATATTACACTATGGTCGTAACTAACAGTGATTAGATTCAGAGTCAAAACCCAATGTCAGTCTACCAACTTAGAGCTATTACGCACTGTCGACTTGTCGCCGGCGACTCGGTCGCTGGCGACTGTGAGTTTCTACAGTTTAAATAGATGTCCACGCACTTGGTCGTCGGTCGCCCAAGCGACTGGGTGACTCGCCGCGTCGTGGCGACACACAAGCGACTGCCGGTCGCGCGACCTAGCCCTCATGGAAGCATTCACACTGCGACAACTGTCGTAACGACCGGACGTCGCGCACAAAAATGGAGAAACACATGGTCGCAAATATGTATCTGTGCCAGTTATATATGGTTTCAAAAGACACAATAGCTCATCAAACGAACGCACAGACATTCTTGCGTAGTAGAAAAATTTATGAGGGTATTTTCTCACGTCTTCATAAAATAGTTTAAACATTCCTTTTGATCTCCGTTCTTGTAATAAAGGATATACCCAATACTCTCTTGATTTTCTTTTATTTTTCTTTCTCTTGTTTAGTAGCGCTACTATAGCAACTTCTTCGACATCCATTCTGCACGAATGTACTTGGAATACTGTCGCTCGGCTTGGTCTCCTGCCTAGTTGCCTATGTTTTGGTCGCCCGAGCGACTGAGTCGCCGGCGACAAGTCGACAGTGCGTCATAGCTCTTACTGTAACTTTGTTTTGCAGGCTCTTAATGTGGTTTAAGTTTTCATTTAGTTTTGTTTATTTCTGTTATTGTTATTTTTTATCTTTTTATTATTAATTTTTAATTATTTTTTTAATTTTTTTTTGTGGTTGTTTGTTTAATTCTTTCCTTTGATAGATTTCTTATGTTCTAATGTAATTTATGTGTATGTGTATTAAATTTGTGATGTCATATTTTCTTCTATTTTTTTAGGCATACACATTGTTTTAGAATGTATAAATGAATAAATAATGTCAATGTACTTGACGTACGCGAGTTTTACTAGTTAGTATCGACTCTGAATCCACTCAAAACTCGCATTTTTTATATGAAATACAGAATACTTATAAATATCTGGTTAAATGACGATTTATTTAATTCCTTCTCAGATGCAGAGAAATTCAGCGGAATATGAAATGCAGAGGACATCACTACAGAAGGAAATAGACGAAGAAAGATCTCAAATGAAACGTAACACGGATACAAATAGTTATTTTGAAAAGCCTTACACCGTCAATGTACCAGATACGGCAATATTTTCACCGAATTACGATCTCGAAAATTACTTAAGAAAAAATCTTAATCCAACCAAAGAGAGCCTCCATCTAGGTAATAAAAGACATGAGAAGTGGAAGAAAAGTGAAAATTGGTATGAGGAAACACCGTACCGTCAAGAAGTTTATAATTATAAAGATCACAATGAAAACAGGCAAAAAGCAGATGAAAAAATTAAAAGCTACAGAGGGACCGAAAGTGAGAAATATAGGGTAGATACTAATAGATATAGGCAAGATAGTTATAAAAGCGAATTCGATACTTTGCCCATACCAGTTTTACGGCATTCGCCAAAACACAAAGTGGAAAAGGAGGAAAAGTGTGAGAAAAACGAATTAAGCGAGGAGATGCAGCTTGTAGATGACAAGTGGAAGGTACCCGCAGTTCAAAAGAATATTTTGAAAAATTTAAAAAGTGAGGGTAGGAATATAAATATTTTGACCCAATTGGGTTCCATACGACGCCAACTTCAACTGGAACAAATGAAGTTAGATAAAATTAAACAAACCGACTTTTAGGTATATTATGCCAATATTTTAAATTGCATTTCAATATTTTATGATTAAAATACAACGGTTAGTTAATTATTATTCATTTTAAAAAATAAATAGACTGATTGTGAAATAAAAGTCAAAGTGTAACTGATAATGTTAGTGTGGTCTCTTTCTAAGATCGTTAACATTTTACAATTACGTCACTTGATCCATGACACAATACTTTGACAATTTACATTAGTAAGCAAAAAGAGCATAGTCAATATTCCTGTTTCTTAATAAATATTAATTAAGATTTAAAAAAATACCTTAATAAAAATTAAATGTGTCGTTTTGGATTTACATTCAGTCTATTTATATTTAAAATATATAAGATTTAAATTTTCAATAAATAACCGTCCGTGAAGCTTGCTAAATAAAATATTTTTGCTGAATTTTAAACATATTTTTATTTTATTATGAATATTCGTTAATTTGTTCGCTAATTTTGATGGATGTCAAAATTAAATCGAGCAATATTTAATTTTATATATTTGTTCTAATTTGTTGTGTTTTATCGGTGTTGCTATTTTTTTATTCGGCTTAATCTATTTTCATTTGTAAGTGTTAGTACAGTTTAACCAAACCTGTATTTTTCGTCATAGTTGAAATATAAATTGAGAAAAAGAGACCAACGAGTTGCTTACTCCGGAAAATATAAACAATCCGAAATTCCTCATATCTGTAGATTTTGAAAATTTATTTAGTTTTCAAAGATTTCCTTCATATTTAATTTAAATGCGCCTTATTTTATCTCTACGGGTTTTTGAAGTCTATCTCTAAGGCCCATATTCCAATATATGTCTCTAGAAATCTTGGTCGCACCTGGACATATCGTCTAAATGTAACACGGTCTAACTTCGTTCTTATAAGTGATTACTTATAAACCAAATGTTGCTCCTTAATTCATACTTCGACTAGAACATAGCCAAAAAGTTATTCCGTAGTGTAGTGCCAAATAGGTTTTTGATTTTTAAAATTTTATCCTTGTCTTTGAGTTTTGATAATTGTAACAGACATTTTTATTTAAGGGTATGAAAATTGTGATGTTAAGTCTAACACCTTTATAAAAAATAAATCAGTTTCATTGCACTCTTTAACTGTCCTGCTTCGTCTCATCGAAAACACAATTTGACAGAAAGAGACGAAAGAGCTTTAGAGTGAGTGAGATATACATCGTTGGACATACTCTGGTTTGTTCAAGGAAAATAATACTTTATTTTGTTGTTAATAACTTGATCAACGGTAAGTTAAATGGTTTTTATGTCATTAAAACGTAGATTGATTCAAAAATACTCTTAAATAAAAATGTTTAACAATAACCTATGCTCGTTTATTCCTATATCAGTAGAAAAGTCAAAATAAATGTTAAGTTTAATATGTTATGTGCGTTACAACTTTCTATTAATATTCGTAGTAAGTAGTGTTATTTAGTAAATGTGTAATCCAAAAATGATCGCTACCACGTATCGATTAAATCGCAAAAGTATATCAAATCTCGGTGAACCTTAAGCAGAAGAAATAATGTGATGAAAGAAGTAAATTGTTGTATAGAAACGATGTGTTAGTAAATTGTCAATTTTGGCAATTTGTCTCAATACAGGATTTTTGTTTAGGCTAGCTTTCCGAGGTATTATCTTATATCTCAGCTGAGCGTAACTTTACTAACTCTGCGTTTACGATATAATTAGCAAATCGATGTTGAAGTTTGTACGTTTTGAGTGGCCTTTAATATTGTCGCGAATTGCGTTAGTTTTGTGTTAGTTCGCGGAATATTGTTATTAAAAGACTGGTATAGATTAAGAACTCGAGCTTGATTGAGAAAGTGATAGGTAGAGCCATAGTGAAGTAATATTAGATGTCACATCCATTTTGAAACGTAGTGAAAAACAGTAAATTAAGAATGACTGTAGTCTTTTTCTAACATCATGTATAAAAGGGAGAGATATAATGGAGCTGAAATTAGGGACTGAGTGAAAATTATTTGATTGATTGCTTTTACTCATTTTAATATAGCGCAATCGATATTTAAAATATACAGTTAAATTAAAATAAATTTAATATTAAGCTTTGTATGATTTTGAATCTGTTGCTGTAAGTAATAATTATTTAAATAAAATAATGTTTTAATCGAACTTCGGGTTTTATTTATCATTACCTTTTTGTTTCCCTATTAATTAATAACTCGTTACAGACGTAACTCAGACACTTCAATTACTGGATTAACAAAATTTTACTAATTAAGTTCCGTAATTTCCCCAATTTATAAGTCTGCTTTATTGATATGTATTCTAATAGAGCTATAGATATATATATAAAATCATAATAATAATAAGACTTGAATTTCAAATACATTTATTATTTTTATTTATATCTCATTCTTTCTAGATATAGTGTGCCCTTTTATGGCAAAGGTCTCCTTCAAATCCCGCCATTTTTGTCTGAACTGACCCACGCTCTTCCATGTAACAGCTGTTGCTTCTTTAATCTGTTCTACCCACCTTCTAAATTCTCTCTTGCGTTTACTGTACTTTGGGCACCAGTTTAATACATACTTGCTCCAATTTTCTGTTCCTTTTGCCATGTGTCCCGCCCATTTCCACTTAAGTTTATTCGTTTAATTGTGGCATCTGCTACCTTAGTTATTCTTAGTGATGTATTATTTATTTTATCGATTCTTTTCTTCCCTATATCGTTACATCGATCTTTGACACACTTGTACACATGTATTGAAAAGCTTCCTTTTAATTACCAAACTATTTTTCATGACTTCTCTAAGCCTAAAAGCGCTTCCATGCTTTTGCTATTCTTTTAATTTGCATCGGTAAAAGATTTTGTCTGACCGAGGTACGAATTTTACTTTCCGAAATTGGTCATTACTTTGGTTTTCTCGGTATTAAGACCGACAAGAATCCACAATGCGTTGTTCAATGAGATCATCTGCAAACCTTAAGTGGGTTAATCTTTTACTGTTTATTATGAGTGCGTATTTATCCAAACTTGGTGTCTTCTAGAGCTGTCGTACCTTGTTCTGACTTGTCTTGTCATGTTCAAGAAAATACTTAAAATTTCTTAAATTCAATGTGAAAGAAAATTCCATGGATTCGATTATTGTAATATAACCGGTAAATTATGCAATTAAAGAGGTCGAATATACTATAAAACCGGTAGATTGTGTTATAAAAGAGGGATTATACCCATAAATATATCTTATACTTGAATCCAATAAGTATAATATTAATTCAATACAGTGGTCGATTGTTAGTATTTTATGTGGTGAAACATGAATTTAATACATTTTTGTTCGGTATAAAAATCATCAGTTTTCATGCTGTCTCCACTCCACCGCTAGTGTGTCTGACGCATTACTGACTTTTGAACATTATACAACTTTTTGTATAATTCCTAGTAAAAGTGCGAAATTTAGTATTAAGTATAGGGCCTGACAATAAACATTACTTTATATAAATCCAATAAAACAGATACGCTTACAAAAATAATGTATTTCTTTTCAATTTTAAAACAAATTAACGAAAATTAGAACTATTTACATTTAATAGAATTATTATTCTTTATTGCATCCCGAAGTAACGCCAGATCGTAGACGGCACTCTTATGTACGTACAAGCATTATCTTACTAGAAATAAATCCCCTCTGTCAATTGTTAAAAAGATCTTGAATCTTTGTGCATCAAAAACAAGGAATTTTGTGCCCTAGGTAAAAATACTTTGCGAAAGGGTGGCTGTTGACACGAATTGAATTTGTATGGAAATGGTCACGTGACCGTGAGCTAACGTCATTTCAATAAGTACAGAGGACTTCTTTTATAAATGCCGCAACACTTCATTTCTACTGTTTTAAAACCCAGCTTTACACAAGCTATACAAAATATGTAATTTTTCTATTTTTATTAAAACAAAAATCATTAAACCGATATTGCCTGGTGATCGTTGATAATTTAGTGATGACACATTGATCACTTATTTATCTGTCAATAAAAATAAAATTATTGAATCCGCTCATCCAGGGATTGGTTTAATTCCACTGCAGTTAATTAAAATAATTGAGTACCAACAATTACTTTATATTAATTATGTGTACAGCTTTCTAAAGCATATAAAAATAGAAACAACTACTATAATATAATATTCACGATAATTTTTGTATCAAATATAGAAAAACTGTAGTTTATAAGTTTACACAAACAATCAATCAACAACTAAAATTAGCTAAACGCAACATTATCTCAATCTCAGATTTCTCCAGTAAATAGTGGTTCTGCTAAGAGTTTGAGCTGGTGTCGTCAAAAAATATTTGTAGGAAAAACAATACACCTCAAGCAAAATCCAAAATTTATCATTAAATTATTAAAAAAAAATCTAACCTTAACAAACAAAAGACCAAAAGTATAAACAAAGACAAGAAAAAAAATATAAAAGTAATAAATACTTTTATATTTTTTAATAGAAAATTATACGGTAACTTTTAAAAATCAGATATTTTTAAAAAAGTTTATACTATAATCACGAACATCAGTATGTACTTAATAAATTCAGTTTAACTTTTAAAAGTTTGTTCGCGCTTAAAGTTCTTATATTCATAATAAAAGCTTAGACAAAGGGAAAACAATACAACCCAAGGGTAGAAATTAAAAATGAGAATGAAAAACAATAATCAGCTGTCTCAGTGACAATAGTCCCACCAAAAAAATTCACCACCTAGAACTCCGTACTGAACAAAATTCAAGAGACATAAATATATACTAACAATGCACAACAAAATTTTTCATAAATTTTCATTGAACAGAATACTATATAATATGACAATTTAATTTATTTCAATTGGTAACGGATGTCGTAAAAACTTTTCCAATGTTGGCCCGTTTCTGCCTAAAGGATCCTTGGGAAACATTATCATGTCGTCAACCCACGTGAACTGTAAAAGTCTATTCTCTATGATATATCGCCATCTTGGATTTTCTGACATTAGGTCTCTATAATTGTCTGTAGAAACAATAACGCCGTCAAATTCTGCGGCACATTGCACTATGTATCTGTAATATTGTTAAAATAAAGGTAACAAATTATTAAATAATACGAGCACATAATCTAATGCCTGCCATTATTCATTAACTCTTTAGTTTTAATTAATTGAAAATGTACTGTGGTGTGGCTCTTCAGGCATCAAGGTGTCTTCAGTGATTTTTAGGTTTCAACTATATATAAAAAAAAAAAACTAGAATATACAACTTGAACATAATTATCGATTTTCATGCCACCTAGAACTAACTTTACGATGTAGAATTTAGGTGTCGGTGTGCGCGCGCATCGTAAAAATTCACTCTCATCATTTTTCTCCATCGCGCCAAAAGAAGTATAACTTCAAAAATGAAGGTGAGGGGTACCGGGTTCGATTCCCGGTTCGAGGGCAAGTTTTAATTTAATTTAAAATTGTTCTCGGCCTTTGAGAGGGTTGTGCGGTACCGGGCGAGTGCCTAAACCGTACATGGAGGACACGGTCGAATTTCTAAAGACAAGCACGAATTATAAAAAATCCTATACTTGACGCTGGCTAATGCACAAATCGTGCCAGAGCCATAAAAAAAAAAACTTCAAAAATATTCTTATAAATGTATAGAAATTAGAAAGCGATACTATCAGCTATCACAATAACATATTTCATTTTCAAATAGCAGACTAAAACGAAGACCGGTTACATGCGCAGAGAGATAGTAAATCCATAGATTACAGCCGGGGATTGAACCTACGACCTTAGAGATGAGAGTTGCACGCAGAAGCCAAAAATAGTCAAAAAAAAAGCCCGAGACACGAAAACAGCTAGACCGAATTTAATTATTTTAATTTTGTTGTAATCGTCGTGGCTGCTAAACAGAAAAGGAACATTAATTAAAATTACGGAAAGGTAAAAAAATCAAACTAAAATGCAAACAAAAAATTAGTTTTTAAAACATGATATGGAGAAGTCCGAGATATTTTCAATATATTGACAAAATACGGAATAGACAATTTATAGAGAAAGATTACATAAGATGAGACTGCAGCATCATTTGATCTAATGACGGGTGTTGAGAATCACACCTTCTTGTCTAACAATGTAACAACAATCTTAATATTAAAAACCATAAAATATTTATGAATGACGTTTTTACCTATCATCATATGACGTGATCATCCGTCCCTGTATTTCCCGAGAAGGCGTATACACCACATAACCCTGTCTCTCCATCTGATCCAATAATCTACCGTCTGTACTTTTGCCTTGCTTACATCTGGAATAAAGAATAGTTCAATTGAATAGTGAATACTGAATTTACATAAATCCTTTACTATTCATACTGATCCGCAAAGGCAAAACAGTGTAATTTAAAATTGTCTACTAAAGATAAATGTTTATAATAATTGTATTTAAAATTGAAAGTTTGTTTTACCTTTGTCTCAATTTTATTAATAATTAAGAGGCATTTACCAAACAAAAAGGAAATCATCATCAGTCATCACATCACAGATCATCCTTTTTTAATTAATATCTCTACTGCAATATGGATAATGAAAGGTAGTTGAAAATAGTAAAAAAAAATTTACCTAAAATGTGGCACAAACGACTTGACAATATGTCCCCGTCTAATAAAGTAGTCAATACATATTTTAAGCCCTTCTACAGAAAATACTCTACCCTTTGTGTGTCTGAAAAGATTAAAATTTTAATGAATAGGTGATTTAATTTTTTTGATAAAGCATAATAATAAAAGCAAATACCGAACTTAAACCCAGATTTAATATCAGTATTGAGACAATAGAGCCAATTAAGTTAATTACAAAATTAAATAATACTTAGTGAAAAATATTTGGATATGAAACATAACCTTTCCATTTATTTGTAATTTGCATTGAAGCAACTCAAAATTGCCCACAAGGTTGTTATTTGACAGGCATGTTTGATTGAAAGAGTATTCAGGAGAATAAAGTGATACAGTGCAATAGATATATATGGTGATAAATGCCATACAAGTCCTGAGCTACATGGGATTTTTAAAGTGTGTTTGTAGAGTGAATATGATAGGTTAAGTCATACTGTCAGATATCAATACAATTAATTAAACTATAAATTGCTATCCTGTAGAGAAAAACCCAGAACTTATTTCAAAAACAAACAATTGTTAAGTCACTGTTATATTAATTTTTAACATTTTACTAATTTTCTTGATTATTATTTAGTTTTTGAAGTGAAAATTCTTTAGGCGCATGGGGTAAAATTTTTACGGATGAAACGCAATAATAATGATATTAGCGTCACGAAGATGTGCAGCGTTTTTGTCGAAGATAACGGAGAGAACGATTGAGACCGATTGAGAGAGAATGAGAAGAAATTTATTGAATTTATTTAATGAAATAAATTACCTTACAGAAATTGTATTTTTAAAATTAAAATTTTGTAAAGAGAATTTATGAAATATTAGTTTTTTATGTTTTATGCAAAATAATTTATTGAAATCTCAAATGACGAATTGTAAATTAAAATGGTACAAGTTTTTAGTATCTAAGAAATAAATTAAAAAAATTAATTTATAATTTGTATTAATTTTCGACACTTAATATTTTAATGACAAATAAATTCATTAAATTCCTAACATATCTTCCTTTTGGGGAGGGACCCTCTAAATCTCGGAAATCTAAAGTTTTAGATTTGTATAAATATGAACAAGCTCTAAAATTAGTTTGCCAAAGAAGTTTCACTTCTGACATGTGTACTTTGTACGCACACACTTTTTTTTCCTTTAAAAATGTTACATAAGTGACTGTGACTTAAAACTAGTATTATTATTTATTAACGGTTTGCCGATAAAACACACTCAAATTCAAAACATACTTACTGCATAGCAACATTACTTCCATCTATAACAATCATACGCAGACCTGTTTTATTCTTAATATCTTTTCTAGGATTATAAATGTTACTGCCAATACTATTTCTGGACGGAGCCTGATGAAGTATTACTTCTTTAATGAAAGCATCTTCTGCTGATTGAATTGAATCATTAATTCCATTCTGAAATTTAAAACAGAATCTAGTCTCTGTTATGTATGCCTATGCAGAGCTACCATAAACTTGACTTGAAATTGGCAATTCATATATTTTGTTTTAATTTTAAGGAATTTATGGTTGCATGGATCATTATTTATACAAGAAGATTAATTCTACTGTAATTAAAGCTATTTGAGCTATTAAATACATTATATAGTTATAGTCTAATATAAAATATATTTTTTTTTACATATTTAAACTACAATGTCATTTCAACCTAGCACTAATGTTTACTAATGATGATAGATGGATTCTAAGTCTACACTAGCTCAAAATGCTTGATCCTTTTGACCCTATACCACTAGTGGTGTAGTGTACACTGTGTTGAGGAGCTGGGCCACCTCATCATTGAGAAGAAGCCTCTGTTGAACTCATATAAAATTTAAGTTAGTTATTTTTTTTTAAATAGCTTACAATATTGCTTTAATGCCTTTTTTTCTAAATTAGTACAATACATATAATTTATCCTATCAAGTATTACAAATAGGTTCCAAAATATATATTAATATAAAAAGTAAATAATAACAAGCTTAAGCTTTGTGTATTTAATGTTTATAGAATGTCTTGAAACTTACCCTAATACTATGTAAACTCTTTGGTCCATCACAGCCACTAAAGATCTTCTGAGCAATGAATTTTAACAGTTTTCCTTTAGCAGACGAATCCATTTTCTCAATGCCATCAACAAATTTCTTCATCTTATTTCTTTTTCTAGATATTACATTCACCACAGTCACCTCTGAGTCTCCACTCATAGATATATTTGAGTCTATAGACTTTGCATCATCTACTAAATCAATAATTGTAGGTTGAGTAGCATCTATAGTGCTATTTTCTGTTAAGTCTATAGTTACATAGGAATCATCATTTATTTGTTTAGTTAAATTTAAAACATCTGAATGAAAGTTAGCTATATTTTCATTGTGGTTAACTATATTATTTTTTGGTGTTGAGCATTGTAATGGGCATATGTTTAAATCTGATCTACATATTTGAGCTTTACTAGGAGTTTTGTTAATAGTTTCAATTATGGCTGGTTTTTGTTTATCTTCTTTTGGACCATCAATACAATTAACAATTTCTATAACTGTATTAATACTTCCATGTGAAGAATTTGTTTCATTATTAACTGTACCAACACTTCCCTGAGAATTTGAGTCTCGTCTTAAATTATCAAATAGCTTCTTGATTTTCTTGTTTGTTTTTCTTTTATTTCTCATTTTTTTCTTTTGAGTTCTTTTAGATGAATTTCCTATATTTCGTTTATTACAACTCATTTTCTGAAATTTTTTAAAGTTTATTTTAAATTCTGTGTTAACAATGTTAAAGTAATGCTAAAACAAATTCCCTTTTTTGTGACTACTAATACTTTAAAAGATTTCATTAAATAATTGTCAATGACATCTATAAAAAGACATTCGCGTAATTTGAATGAAATTAACGATAAAAATTATATTGAACCGAAATTTTATAGGATTAAAAATACTTAAAAGGATGAATGTAAACAATAATGATAATACAATTTAACTCAAACATTAAATATTATATAGGAGAAAACAAAGATTATATAGTTATCACAACCAACTCACGCTTGTAATGGAAACCTGGGACATTTTTCCCATTACCTTGTACAAAAGTAAAAAGCAAAGTTGAATAATATGTAATATGGAAATGTACACTAATAAAATTCGAAGTGGACAATAGAAAAATGTACAATATCAAAATGATAAATTAAATTTGTAATCACGATTTCTTTAAAAACACTGAAAAGTTTGAATATTCAGATACATAATGTCAATTGTCAACATAAAATTTTGACATAATCACAGGTGAGTGGTGACAGACACATAGACGTAATGATAAACCCACAGACGAGACAAATCTTGAACTCGTATCTGCGACTCTGTGTAATGTTTGTTTTACGATAATAAATAAATACCTTGTTGGCAATAAAGCTGTTGGCATAATATTGAAAAAAAAAATACCTTGTTGTCGTAGAATAGGTACCCCGTACCATTAAACTAAATATCGAATACTACGCTTAGTGAGCAAACCCCTGAAAAAATTAAGGGAGAATTGAGGTTAATCTGTTATTATGGTGTTTGTATTAACGGGGTTTTAAGACAATAAATAATACAGAATCGTTGATAGTGGTCGAAATTGAAAAATATTTTTTAAATTCCTAGAAAAATATTAGCCTAAATAATTAAGAGAAAATTATATATTCTATTCTCAGGTTAACAGCCGTACTACCAGACAAAAACTACATTTAACATTTTTTTCAAATTATTTATTACCAACAATAATATGGTAAAAGATACCAAAAAATTCACAGTATAACAAAAGACATTATTTTACATTAATTGTGGTGACATGTAAATTGTCACTATAATTAACTCTACTTTATCTGTTACTTAAATAATAATCACAAACAATAAAGCCCGCCTCGTTGATTATTATTGTTTAACAACACAAAGTCTGAAATACTATTTGTTTATATTTCATTAAGTACAATTGGAATGTAACCTATAGTTAATTATTAAATAATATTATACACTTGTAATTATTAGTAAATTTTAGCCTCTTTTTATAACTGCTTGAGATAAAAAATATATATCTAACATATTATATGTACATAAAATACTACATACATAAAATATTTTTACCGAAGTTCTGTTTGTTATTCAATCATAATTACCTATACGTGTAGTAGAAGATTAAAGAATTAGAATTAATTTGTTTTTAGCCTATGGATACGATTGAATTTGGTGCGTGAAAAACTTGCGTTTCTCGTTTCTCTTTTGCTGCATATTCAATTAACGCGCACTGAAAGCTCAAGAATTTAACATCGTTTAAGTAATTAACAGAGATTCTACGTATAAGCCATTTATGCACTATAACCCGTTTTGTCCTATTTACAAGTATGAATTTCGACAGTTTTGACACAAATATTGCAATCAACACGGCAGCACCAGTGAAATTTACAATCGCATCGCTCTTTTATAACGGCCCGTTTTGTATTGTAGCCCCGGCCACAACACATTATTGCGCATCCATCAATGCCTGGTGACGTTCTGTTGCAATTTCGGCCGGTAGTGCCGAAGGAACCCTGAAACAATTTTTTAACCCTTTCATAGTTGCCTATAACCCTCAAGCGTAAAAAGAAGAAGTTCAAGGGTTTTAGTATTATATTATTTCATATTTGACCTATCTTTATTGTACTGAATTCATATCAAACAATTCTTAAAAAATCGATCGCTTAATGGCGCTAAGAGGCATATTTGCCTTAAGTATGTAATGTTTTATTTATTATCTACTTTGAAATCGCTTTATATTGCGCAATAGTGTTAAATAAATTATATGGGTGGCTTTTTGGAATCGTGTCGTATTTAAAAATTATATTTTCATACCAATGTCTCGTTCTTAATACAATAATTAGGTGATTCCTCCAAGTAGACGAGGTCCTGCGGCGTGGGCAGACTATAATTAGGATTACCCACGCGTAGCTTGCCACGTCTTGATACTTTCACCTCCGTTGCTCCTTCATATTTCTCATGGAGGTAGTCACCTAAACATCAAAATTTTATACGGTTTTATTAAATAAGCCAAAAGAACATCATGAAAATATTTTATAGTCTGTAGAGCAAAACCATAAGTAAAATGTGTTTATTATTTTAAGTAAGGTGTAGTTCGATAGTAAGGTTCTTCTAGTCCCGTGTACTATTGAGTCTGCGATGTTTATTACGTTAGAGGCGTTAACCATCATTAATTGAGTTATTTAGTTTTTAATACGATTTAAGTTTACTTAAGTAAGCGTTCACTTACACGTCTTGTACGCCATTTATAACTGGCACGAACAATCCTATAAGTTATCTAGCACAATGAGAACCTAACGTAAAACCATTTGGCTAATTCGGTACCAAACGAGCCGCCATTACCGCCACAATAGATGAGAGTAATGAAGCGCTTGTGAGTTTTATGCAGACTTGGTAGCTTGGATAGTGAAATCGATTTGTTATCGGGGTATTCTTTGGACGCGATAAATTCGTTAGTGGGATGAATTTCGAAATATGTCTGTCTGTACTTCAGGATTGGTTTTAAAAGTCTTAATGTTATTTTAAACTTTTAGAGAGATTCATAAAATGTGCCATTAAATTATTAATAATGTAACGACTGACGGCTCTTAAATAAATAAACAGTTTTTTTTATAAGAGAATAAAGTAAACTTGATAGAGTTTCTAGACTGTTCTTCAGGTCACGTTCTAAACTTAGGCGTGGCACAAAAATATACAGAAAATAAGCAGAGTTTCAAGAAATAAATAATGATAACTTACCAATTTCCCTGAATGTAGCTAATTGCTGCCAGCACGTGATGAGACTACATGACCCCGAAACACCGTGACATTTACACGTGACACGAGATTTCTTGATAACAGCCTATAACACAACACATTTTACGAACGGATAAGAAAAAAAGCTAAGATGTGTGTAAGCAAGAATGTATGGCTTAATATTATAATTTATTTCAATATTTTTGATAGGATATTGAAGTTACTAATAGACTTAATACTGAGTTAACAGTGGACTAGCAATTACAGTCCCTAACAAAGAACACAAACGAACGGGGGAATGTCTACAAGATATTGCTAAATAGATATACAAAGTATTATAGAAATCTAGTTTCAAATACGTACATAATTTGAGTGCTATGCAGATTCCCGCTACGTATTAATTTAAAATAATCCTTTGAAATAACTAAGTAGGTTTGACAGTAATCTTAAATGTCGACGCTAAAGCCATATGAATGTTCTTACATTATGAATTTTGCAGTTTGAGTTGAAAACAAATCGGATTGATCTCCTTATTTATTGTTCGAGGTTCTTTAATAAGAAACTTTGTGTATATAAAATAGATTTCAAACATATTCAAGTTTAATAAACAGTAAAAATAGCAATAGTAAGCTAAGAATAATCACGAATTAATAAAACAATGTTTAACCGGATTGAAGTGCTTTACAGCGTGCGTGGTCACGAAGACAAAAGGTGTTGAATGTCAAAAAGTATTACAGCTGTAGAAAAAGTTGTATTATCTGTATTTATTTCCCCGGTTAAAAATTGTTTTATTAAATGTGTAAAAGTTATGTCAATAAAAGATAATACTATAATCACGAATTATTCAATTTTAAGTTAGTCAAAACCATTTAAATCAAAGGTCCCGACTCCCGGCTGAATTCTATTGTATTAGGTTCTTAATAACAACGGCATGGTCAGTTACGACTATCGGTTTTTACGACCAAAACGAATACTGATAGTATTCGCTTCGATGTCGTTATAAAATATTTTGACTGTATTAATATAATATCTAGCCATACTTTATTTTCAGTTCTAATGAAAACAGTTATAAGACCGAGATACAGGGAGTGACCATTTGTCTTATCTGGTGGTGGTGGTACGTGTGAAGTGTCAAAGACTCGAAAGATTAACTTACCCGTCTGCCAGCTTCGTTATTGTGCCTGTTCATTAACTGGCGTCCCTGTTCCCGGCTGCCTCTTTTCACTTTCCCCTCCCTCTCGCGGACATCTACAAAGCTTTCTGTGAACCTGGTACAATCATTATTTTAATTAGCAGTTTTTTTCAGTAATGAGCCTTCATTTTCGTGAGTATGGGTGGAATTTATTTGCAGTAAGTACTAGGAAATGAGAGGGAATTTTTGCATGGAACTATGTAATGGATATTTTAAATTTTATAAGATGATGATGATACTAGATATTTTTTTCGCATTCATTTAATGTTTATGATATGTTTAATTCAGTGAGGTTAATAGAGAATTTATTTTCTTGATCTGTTCTACACTTTTTATACTGCAAAATATTATAACTTTTAAATCCATAACTTATTGATTTGTAAATTTTTTTTTAGAAAGTAAATGTTGTAGAAACATAATGTTAATCACCGTATAGATTTTACAAGAAACTATCATTTAAATATACGAAGTCTTCCAAAACTTAATGCCTTTGTTGACCCTGGTACCCGAAAACTTTTACAGTGACTTTGCAACAGAGAGAGATAAAATACAGGGGGAGCAAGCCACGCCTCTTCACTCCCTACGCCGTAGCAGTACGTCACGTTATGTCAGAAGGTCGATTTCTTCGTAGCACGACAAAAACTTTTGTTTTAATAATAACTATCGTTAATTCATAATACATGTTTAAGCTATTATAACTTTAAGCCAGTAACTAAAAATTTACTATGGTTAATTTATCTGGTAAAATTATATTACTACGCGTGCCTCATGGGGGAAAAAATACTCCTAATATATCATAAAAGCCTGGTAATAGAGACGGCTGAAAGGTTTAACCGGTTTTAACCGGCTTAATCCGCCGAGCTTTCCGTTACTCGGCTTTATTTCCAATATGAGGGATTTTCTACTGATGATGTAGTTAACGCAAAACATTGTTAAATGTTTGTAAATCCGCATTCATTTATTGTTTTTTAATATGTTTAATTCAGTGAGATTAATAGAGAATTCCTTTTCTTGATCTGTTCTACACTTTTTATACTCCAAAATATTACGTAGCACGACAAAAACTTTTGTTTTAATAATAACTATCGTAAATTCATACATAATACATGTTTAAGCTATTATAACTTTAAGTCAGTAACTAAATATTTACTATGGTTAATTTATCTGGTGAAATTATATTTCTACGCGTGCCTCATGGGGGAAAAAATACTCCTAATATTTCATAAAAGCCTGGTAATAGAGACGGTTCTAAGCTCGCTTTAAAGTTTTGACCGGCTTAATCCGAGCTTTCCGTTACTCGGCTTTATCTATCTATACTATAATGTTATAAAGAGGAAAGATTTGATTTTTTGTTTGTTTCAAATGAATAGGCTCCGAAACTACTGGATCGATTTCAAAAATTCTTTCACCGTTGGCAAGCTACACTATTCCCGAGTGACGTAGGTTATGTTTCATTTTCAAAAAAAATAGGGATGCTTACTAAAACTTGAATAATCTAACCCAAGGTGTAAAAAAATAAACAAAAAACTTCCTTCAATCGCGTGTGCTGCGATAACTATTAATGATAGAACATAGTGATGTATTACAATTTTTCAGGACACATCACTATCTATAAAAAATGTCGCGACAGCAAGTCTCTATCTTTTATAGTTACGTCACAATAAGCGTCCTTTTATTAATTTTAAAACCGCTAGAAAAGGCTCTTTATTCGTACCTAGGTATTGATCCTTATCAAAATAAATACCAACGTTTCACATAAGTTACAATTTAATTTAAACCACCAAAAAAGCATGGTGGATTGGTGTTCTCCTGCCGTTTCTCTTGAATAGTTTACTACTATGTAATATAACAAAAATCTTAGCCACAGCAACGCTTGGCCGAGTCTACTAGTTTCCAATATGAGGGATTTTCTAGTGATGATGTATTAGAGTTAACGCAAAACATTTTTTAATGTTTGTAAATCCGTCAATATACATAACTTTCCGAAGTAATTTGCGTTTAAGTAGATAGAGAAAAATTACTATTACAGTAATAAAATAAATGTTACGTTATCGGACTTGAAATATTGATTTGTAAGATACCATTTTACAAAAAAAAACATCCATTTTAACTAAAAAAAATAGTTCGGTTCAAAGATACTTTATTTCTCAAAGAATTACATTCACTTAGCGAGAAAATTTAGAGTAAGTTAGTTATGTACATCGTGTTATGAAATTATTTTGAAAATACACTATATAAAATAAAAATATTAGTTTCTAACAATATGGTACATAACCATATTTGTTACAAAAGTGCAGGTAGGTCGCATCGATGTTACAACAGGCATTATGTGACAATGAATAGTAATAATTTCTAAGACGCTCGTTCGCAGACATAAGTAAATGCTAGAATAGCCTTTTTGATGTTTTGTAAATACATTAATTATTCCATTAATTCATATTAAACTTTTAAGATTGTTACAGACACAGATATATAATATGGTTGTTTTTATTTTTGTTATTTTATAGGTATGTTGTTAATTATATGTACTTTTAAAAGTTTTTTAAATTTGTAAAAAGGTTTTATTTCTTTTAATCTGGGTGGCAATGTATTAAATATTTGTGCGCCTTGATACATAATATTAAGTTTTCCGTAATTAGCCCTTGGTTGTATTAAACATAATGTATCAATATTTCTTAATGAATATTTTGTATCTGATTTTTGTGTAAAGGATAGATTTGTATGAATTAATTTGTTAATAATTTTGTATATTAAAATTGAGGTATTGTAAACGTATGTCTGGTTTATACTCATAAATTTGGTATCACTGTATAGTTTTTCAGTTGGAGTCAAATAATCGTAATAGAATAATGTCTTCAATAATTTATTTTGCATAATTTGTATTTTATAACGATTTGTAGGCGCTGCAGTGCCCCATAGTTCGATTAAGTAGTCTATATGTGGCTTTACCATAATATTATATATAATGAGTCGGACTTACTTTGGGAAGCAAAAAAATAGTTTACTATCTATAAGTAAGTAAGTAGTAAGGCTATTGTATCGTATTGTTATTCCTAGCGCAATTATACTATCGATTACGTGGAGAAACGACTATGGATTTACTCGAGATTAAAATCATGGAATAGATTATTCCTGGTATAGTTACTCGTGTATAAATTGAAGTTTGGTTGAATCGACCCTAAATAATACTTCTTTGTGCTGTATTGTAGCCTGGTATTTGTTCGATATTTTTCCGCTGACGGTTATTCCGATTTGCCTGAAAACTTCATATTTATTATGTATGTATGTTGTTTTTAAAGAGAATTTATTAGGGATTTTTAATATGGTGACCTATCGAAGAAAGTATATATTTTTAATAATAAGTATATTTAGGTTATACTGTTATACTAAGTTAATGCTACTTTACTAATAAAAGACAGCAACGCTTAGAATATCCACATTCCTAAGAATCTCCTAGGTACTTTTGCTTGCCTAGTTATAAAAATACTCAAATGCGGGAAAATCTCCTTTATGAAGTAAACTGAAGTTCCTCGCCCCGCAAAGCATTCCCTCCCTGGCTTTCCCTCTTTAAATTCCGCATCACCTCTTGCAATTTCTTACACCCGTATCGAGAAAATTCAAAAGCGAAAATTGGAAAAGCTTTTTTAAAGCGTCATAAAAAAGATATCTCTGTAAGGTGTGTTTTTGTTATTTAACTTCATAAAAAAAGATTCTGTAGATCTTTCTTATTTCAGCTATTGTCTACAATACTTATTGTATTTAATATATCTTTTTAAATATTTTTTTATAATGAGAATAAAATTATTCTGAGATGCATCCATAATATGAAGTTTTAAGTTCAAAATCAAAAAGTATATATTATAACACTTTCTATTAGTATCGATAACGGGTGGTGGTACTCTATACAGTGTAGACCGTATGTTTTACTTTCGAGTAACCAATGGGTAGGAAATGTGTTGACACCCACAGATTATTTGTGTGTGTACAGCTTCCTAGAGACGCCGCCCACTACGCACACAACGTAAAGGCTTTTCACGGAGAATTTCCTCGTGCCTTATACTGTCCTGATAATAAGGAATGAAATTTTCAGTATTTCAGGCATTTTCATCGTAGTTTCGAGCTCTGAAAGCAGGGAAGCGTACCCTTCCCTTTGAAATCCGATGTGGTACTGAAACGAGTTTCAGGGACGAGTATGAAGTACAATTAATGTATAATTTTATGACATCCTGGTAAAATAACCTCAAATTAGTTCATTGTTTTCGTTTAACCACAATAATGTTAATAACGATATATATATAATTGACGGATCTATTGTTTTTAGCGTACCAAATGTTAAAAATAATAGAAACAAACGAAAAATGAACAACGTTTTCAGGTGATTTCCTTAACCCTTCCACTACGTGAAAAAGTTCTAGGCTCCCAGATCCAAGTAGGAGGTTGTACGTCGCGGAGATAAAGAGTGTGCTTTTAGTTGCAAACAAATGACTAACTTTTTTACTGATTATTGATTAAGTTTTCCTAAAATAACATTGTTTTAATTTTTACTAAAATAATATATTTACATATAAAGTTGTCGCTTTATACTATTTGTGGCATTACGCACTAACAGTCTTACTAATAAAAAATCAAAATAATCAGAATATTTACTATTTATAAAGTTGAATTGCCCACTTTTCACCAATTCTATTTCAATATGTGCATATGCCTCTTAATCCACTTATGGATCTGAATCTTCAGGCTTTCTATAAATTGATGATTTCTCCTAGCGAGGGCTTCTGCTACTCTTCGGCATATATTTGTGATTGACTGCTGATTAACCCTGTGTAAATCAGCAGCATCGTCTTCAACCTTTAACAAGAACCTTAAAAAATGACGCCATTTTTGTCTTATACACCCCTTAAACTAGGCCTCTGCGTTGTATAAGCATTGTACAAGTCTACATACAAGCAAAACACTTGTTATAACAGCCGTATATATCAGACTTGTCAATTCAGGAATTCTTAGTAACATTTTTCTGATAACAGGCTTATACGATGTGCATAAATCTTTATTAGTAAGACTGTAAGCGTTTAACGGGTCGTTCTGTCATAAGTAGTATTATTGTTAACTTTTGATTTTAATGCATTTCGTCAAAACAACCAGATAAACAGTCCATCATTTACTTATGCTGCCATGAATAGGAAATTAAATACAAATAAGAATCCCAAACATTACGAAAATGTGTCATTTTCGCTGTTCGCAGAGTTAAAGATAGTCTAACTTTTTATTACCATAGAATGTACAATATTGGCTTTATTAAATACACCACACTGATGTAACAAACATTTATTCACAGGTGAAGTAATTATTTTTACACTTTGCATTATTCAATTACTCTTATTATTAGGATTGTCACTTTTAAAATTAAGACGCAAAATTTACCGTAAATTAGTAATGTAACTATTTAGTTTGCACATTTTTGTAAAAAAAAGTCTTGATATTATTTGTGTACTGTTTTAGTCAAATAATAATACCAATCAAACTCGAACAAGTTTTCATTATAAAAGTATTCGAAGGTTTAATTTTCCGTGAAAATATCTTCAATATTTCACCGCTCCTAGTAGCCAATCTGTCTGCTACCATGGTTTGACATCCTTGAGGTGTACCTGACAGCTTGCTTGCTAATTAAAGCAAATTAAGTTTCGCTAAGCAATGCAAACTCATTAGGGACCTTTTATTTATTATTTATTTTAATTAACTTTGTAATAACATATTTTTCGTTACTTATGAAATAAGTAATTATTTGTTGCTTCTTTAATTTATATTAATTAAGTAATAAGCGCGTCTACCTAAGCTACTTAGAGGTCCCACAGGTAAAAAACCTCAGTGCTCAGGTAAGTTCACCTGTCTTACGGGCTCACCTGTAAACCAGGGTAAAATAAATGTGAAGATACCTTCCTGTCTTTGACCTTACGTGAAAATTTTCACGTGAATTTCAGGTGCACTCACACAACTATGTCCTACGTGTTGTCAGGCATTGTGTCTCGTTTCACTCTCACATCAAAGTTAAGAGGGTGTGGATAAGGGAAGGAAGATCATATATGTATAGGGTCTGAAAGAGAGAAAAACACGCTTCCGATACCCTGAAGCGAAGAGTGAAATGGAACATTCGAAAAGGTGTCGCGGATATTCAGTTAAATGAACCTTCGTATACCTTCTAGTTTCCTGATATTCAGGTACAAACGCGTCAGGTGGTACCAAAGGTAGATTTAGTACGGATTTTTTAGGTGAATAAACAAAAAGATATCCCGTGAATATTATAAGCAAAGATCGATTTGTTTTTTACATTAAAATGTTATTATACTCAAATCACTGTAATTTTTAATTATCCTTCATGGTTAACGAAGAAAATTATCTTTTTGTTTTTTTTTTGTAAAATCACAAAGGTTGTCTGTGTGACAACCTTTACAAGCGAACCTTTCGGTGCTTTGAAACAAAATGACTTTTCCACAGGCGACCCACTTACGTTAAACAAATTTGTATTTAAAAAAAAAAAACATTTGTTTTTTACGCTTTTTCACACGACCAATTTCATAAAAATTATTTTGCGTTAGTGTAGTAAGAACGTGTCTGTCGCTGACCGAGTACAGTTAAGAATAAAACGAATTATCAAATAAAATAAATTCGCGTGTATATAGCCGATGGCTGGCCGATGGCTGGCCATGCGTCATACTCGTGAACGGGTGCTACTTGTGGTGACTGGTCGTACTTGAATCCGTGTATGCGGTGATGTTAATTATTTCGACTATGTGTTTGCGTGTTGTTCCCACGAGAATGTAAGTGCGTGCTCCTATTTCACCATGCCTCCTGCTGATAGGGGACAAGTCTTTGTTTTTATTTATGTTATTATTATTAATTACTTAAAATGTCATGTGGAACATGGTGTAATGGTTGCAGCTCCTTACAAACGTTGTGTAAAAAAAAAAAAAAACATGGCGATTAAAAAGAGTGGCGGAGAGTTTATTGCCAGTTCTTCTCTTCCGTTCTACGCCCTTGATTTGAGAACTGGCAGTAAATGTAAAATTAGAAGCATTAATATTTATTTCTTTAATGACGAATCACAAGTGTACATTGTGTTACCTACGTGAATAAATGATTTTTGAATTTGAATTTGAATTTATAATTTAAAGATATACAATTAAAAGACAGGAATCTTACTTGTATCCATACTCCAGGTTATCCCCACATCCACCCCACACCCAATCATTATGTAAATGTCGTGGCCGTGACGCACGGCTGCAACCACATGACGCGAGACTTCCATCCCGACATGCTCGGGAGATGGCTAATGACACACCAGCAGCTGTTACAGCGTGGGTAAAAGCAGTTTCGCGGGACGCTGAAAAAATGTATTGTCTAAAATCAAAGTTAATTAAACAAAAGAATAATTATATCTTCGTTTGAAAAGATTTGGTATAAAAGTTGCTTTTTACATCATAAAGATGTATCGATTACTTTGGCTATTTGTTACAACTAATTATTTGCAAATAAACTTCATTTGGGGTTTTGTATAAAAATAGAACAAAAAGTAAAGAAAAGTACTATTCTGTTGCACCTCTTGTTTTCAAATAAAAGTAACAATGACGATTCAGCAAACGAACGGATTTTTGTTATTTCATTAAAGATTTTTGTAATAGATATTGAATTTATTGTACTAGCTTTAAAATAAGAAAAGTCTAATAAAATACAATTATTCGTTTAGGGAAAGTATTTACATAATTATAAAAAGAAATTCTCATCTAATAAGTGCAACAAGACCACGGGAGCTCAGATTAAATAAAGGAATCCGGTAAAACTATAAATCACTTTGAGCCGACACTGTGTCGACAACTTTAACTGAAATTTATGCTCCTTTTAAATGAGGCTGCTTTGCTTTGCACATTTAATATTATTTATTCTAATCCTTTATAACCGCAGCTATTCCTGTCTACATGTCTTTCAAATAAAACTAGCTTGTGCAGAATATAACTAAAGTCGCGGGTACTTTAGTTATATTCTGCATAAATTTTGAACAGTATTTGCGCTTATCTTGTCGAGAGGTAAAAAGATTTCACCTTCAAAATAACCTTAATGTACACTGTTTTAACTAAAATGATTGATTGATCTTTGTGGCAAATTGTGTTTACGTCGCGAAAATAGATAATAAATCGGTGGCGCTATGACTCTTGGTCTTGCTTTCAGATAGAAATCTGTTTCTATTTTCCGATCGATTTTTTTAGGATCAGCCTTCTGTGCCTGACACACGCCGTCGTCGATTTTTCCTCGTCAAACCGTCTCGATAATGAAATACATTCGCGTTTATATCCTTTAAAAATCTTTTATCAAAATAATATTACTGTACGATTTGCGTTTCCGTGAGATTCAGATTCATAAAAAATGGAAATTTAATTAATATCAACTAAAACTGAGGACTTATTTGTGTTGGTATATCACTAACAAAACGTACATACCTATTAATGTCAAAGGTCCAAATACCGTCTCATTACTCGTGATGGTACAGTTCCACCTCCGCCCTTGAAACTGGTACTGGCACTCTTCAATACCCTTCCGGACCCCAGCACTAACAGTCGGCATATGGTCCTTATGGTGACGGCATATTCGACGCTGCCCTGGTGTCAGGCCTCGCAACCGGGCACAAAACCTTGACTTTTCAGAGAAAAGCCCTGGCTGGTTTGACCATTTCTCGAACTCCAGGAGACCCATATTGCTGAAAAAGATTTAATTCAAACTTTCTTTATAAATACGATTTATAAAAACGATATGTCGCACAAGTATTTGTAAGTTAAGTAAGGGGGCGTCCATAAATTACGTGAGGTGTTTTTAAAATTTTCTGTACCTCCCTCCCCCTGGTGAGATGTCTGAGATTTTATTCAACCCCTCCCCAACCCCCAATCTCACGTGAGATTTTTCAAAATGTCGGTTTCTTACGTAAAAGCGTAAGAAGGTATCTTTTTGAGCTCGGAGAACTCAAAATAACACAGAATTCGTACTATTGAGCTCGAAGAGCTCAAAAACAAAATAAAAGAAATGTTGAGCATTTAGGTATGGAGTTAGCGGGAAGTTGCAGAGATGGCATTTAGGGTCAACCATTTTCCTAATTTTTTTTCAATCAGAAAAAAATTGCGTGATATTTGCCGAGACCCCCTCTCTCAAACGTAAGATTAAATGAGATTTGACTCGACCCCTCCCCCTTAAACACATCACGTAATTTATGGACGCCCCCTAAAGAGTAAATAATAATTAATAATTAAATCAATATAGTCATTTGTTATTGTCACATAGAAAGAGTAAGAAATGGAGTATATTATATAAGTATTATTAGTGATTATGAAAGCCACGAGAACACAAGCTAATTGATATACCACATAACAAGTTCAGATATTCATTCACAGATCGGTTTTTGTTTAATTTTTTGTATTTGTGCGCCCCATTTAAATATATATACCCAAGAAAGAAATGAAAAAAACGAAAAAGTCTGTGTCTTCGTTACCTTTAAGAATGTGATCCATTATATTGGCCTCATTTTTTTTTTTTAAGACAATTCACACCAATTGACCTAGTCCCATGCTAAGCTGGTGAAGCTTGTGTTATGGGTACTAGGCAACGGATATACATACATATTATAGATAGATAGACATATAAATACATATTTAAACACCCAAGACCTAAGCACAACACCAAATGCTCATCACATCGATGTTCGTCTCAGCCGGGGATCGAACCCGGGACCCATGGATTCGCAGTCAGGGGTACTAACCACTAGACCAATGAGTCGTCAAAATCATTAAGTGATACAAAATATATTTAATAAGTATCGTTGTTAATGACTAATGTCTCTTGTAACAAAAATATGCTTGAGTTACAGAGCTTCCAGCGAAACAAATCTCAACATCATTTATATGATGTATACCAGTGGATAATAACAAAATTTATGTATCCGTTTTATATTCGGTCTAAGAAAGTACGACCACATATCTGCGTTCCGTAAGCGGCCAGGCTGGTTACCCATTCGTCAGCGACGTGATGCCCACCTTCTGTATCCCTTAAATTGCATTCTGTTCAATCCTATCCTATCCTAAAACGATTTCAAATTTTTGAAAGACTATTGCAATAGCCTACGTTTTTCCGAAAACTATATCCTTGAAATCCCATCTCATAACTCTTCTTTTCTTGGTGAATCCTTTAAGGTCTCTGCGGTGAGGCTATGGAACTCACTTCCCGTTCCTATCTGCTTAGTTCCTAGTTTTGTCTAAATAATTATGTCTTATGTATTTTTGCACGTTTTGCGCTCACCTTATTATATGTAATAATTTTTTCTCACATTGGTTACCTGGAAGAGATCGCTCGAAAGCGATTAGACAGCCAGTAACTCTCCTTTTTATTTAATTATTTAAATCTACTAGGTATATTTCTGTATACTTGTAACACAGAGATAGATTAATTGATTACAAAACAATAAAACAGACGCAGTTGTCTACCTTATGCCGACAGAAGCCGATGCAAAGACCTTTTATTTATTTTTGTGTAAATATTATTAAAATCTGTGTTTAATTAATTGTAAGATCGTCAAAATTTACATTATAAAACAAACAGATGAATGCAAATAGGAAATTGTAAATATGACTTAAAGAGATTCCTCACAGAACATAACTGGAAGTCGTGATTGTGGAAGTAAACAATCTGAGATAATAGTAGTAGTATAGTAGATAATGGTAGAACTATATATGCTATTAGTTATAACTAAACATATATATATAAAGATTAGGTTTAACAATAAGTTATAACCGTTAACCTATTCATTTTTATTTCTTCTGATTGCTATGCTCTAACGAAACTAAGAACGCATAAGTAACGGGGAATCCTCGAACCTCATTAAAAAATTTATTTTTGAAGAAAGCTGTATTAGCAACCCTGAGTATTGATAAATACTAACGCTTGCTCATAAGGTGAAGAAAACACGTTGGGGAAACTACAACTCTTTTTTTTTTAAATTAAGGCTTGAGTACAGAAATGATGAAGAAGGAAACATACATTAAAAATAGCTGATTTTATTTTAATTACTTTAATGTTTCTTTAATAAAGTACGCATAATTATAGAATAGAATAGGATGAAGTTTTAGGTAATCTCCTCCAGATTACGGTCTCGATTTGAATAGAGATTTGCGTAATCTTATTATAATTAACGGTTGATTTAAATCAATGCATAATTAGTACGTGTAAGTCAGTTGAGATTTCGTAAAAAGAAAAGTAGTATCATTGTTAGAGTAATAGTACAAATGCTATTATTCTATGGACTAAAATAATATTCAATACTTTAAAGAATAAATAAAATAATGAACATCAATAAATAATTTATTTAAATTAAGTAAACCAATTTATAACATTTTTTAACAAAGAAAATAATTTTGAATATATTAAGTACCAAAAATATCACTTATACGAACAAATCACTAATAATACTAAATAGGCACATTAGACTAGTATCTTCCATAGATGGTTATAGTGAAATTCATTCCAGAGCCTCTCTGGCTTTTAAGCTTGATCTTCACAAAACGCTGCCCAATTCCACCAGCCGAAATAGTTGGGTAACCTCCGGTGCCATCTCTCTCGTTGTCCTTGATATAAATCGCCTTAATATAGGCAAAATTGTGCTGCCCCGGCTCAGGATACTCAATAATACTGGACCTCACCATGAAAGGGAAACCATATTTGTACTCGTTCAGTTTGTAGACGATCACGTCGCCGTAAGTTGCTTGGCCAAGAGACAAGTCGTGGCTCTGGCTGCTCACGGCCGCGGCCAAGCAAAGTAGACTGATAAGAGATAAGAGACGCATTGTTCGTTCGTTCGTTAGCAATGTTGTGCTAATGAGAGCATATTGTTTTATATATACTATGATGGGTTTATGCAAGAGTGGAGCTTTGGAATGTTTTATGAAAATTAAATTATAATATTAATTGTATTCGTATGTTTGTAACGAAACGTACACGCCTATTAAAGTCAAAATCTTAACACTAGTGAATGTACAGTTCCACCTTTGCCCTTGGAACTGGTACTGGCACTCTTCAGCACCTTTTTGCTTACCTCAGCACTAACAGTTGGAATATGCTCCTTGATTAAGAAACGATTTGAGTTATAAGGCCCGGTACGGAAATTTTATGAGGAGTAAAATCAAGTGTTACACGAAAATTTGAGGCGTTATGTAGAAAGAAACAAACATATATATCTGTAGGATTGAACGTGTAAAAGAATGAGATGGAATACATTACACAGACTTTTCTATTTTGAATTCACGTTTTGACAGCCACGTTACAACATTGTCAGTGTTGACAGGTGTAAAAAATAAAAGTAGATTGTCTAGCGTGCCATAGAGTTTTGTCAATAGTAATGTTCAGTGAAATTAAAACTAAAAAGATTGTTCATTCTTATTCTTCTCTTACTATAAAGGTAACTTTGGTCACAGAAAGAAAATCCTATTTGGGCATAGATGATGTAGGTACGTTTTATTACTACGACAAACATTTAGGGGAAGGTGGGGACCCTTCTACAGTTTTCACATTTTATTTTTTAATTTTTTTATTTTTCCATGAATCAATCACCTGATAGCTTAAATTTATAGTCTAACTTCTGAGATTCAAAAAAAAAATGACAAATGATTTCATCCGATGTTTCAACCATAATTATGATTTAAACTAAATCTGGAAAACGTACGAATCTGCCCCATCAACAGGGCACCTTCGTACAGTGTTGGGGTACCTTCTTACGCTGTGGGGTAGTTCAAAATTCATTTATTAGCAATGAAATTAAACACAAAAATAAAATTTAATTTCTATTAAACAAAAAATAAAATACTTTTCTTATGTAAAACAAAAATTTAATTAGTTAGGTATCTTAAATTTAGAATTACATTTTTTACTCTTTGGTGTGGATTACAACTTCTTATTTTCGGGTGTGGCAGTATAAATTCGTGGTTTTCCTGGCCGTCATCGTCATTTTGCTTGTTTTATTACTTCTTACAGAATGCGAATAGGGTCGAAATGCCTCTGGTGTCAAAACTGACTTCGAAGGAACTACTATTTGATGGATTGGTAAATTATTCACAGCATCTGGTTCACAAGCATCAAAATCAACCTTAGTCAAGATGCCTTAACAGTAGTGTAATATGTAGAAAGTCGAAAACTTAATTTGTATGAAAAAGACAGTTCGCGTCGACAAATTATTATACAAATTTAGTTGTACAATTCAGTACAAATGTGCCCCATCTAGTGCTGTCCGAATGTACCCCACTAACCTGAATAACAACAAAATATAACTTATTTTAATATTAATAGGAAAACGTCATAAATTAAGTATTGGAGACGTATCTTAAGTATATTTTGCTAGTTACTGATAGAATACTCTACACGAAAACTTATTTTATCTACGGTAACAAGAGATAAAAACATAGATCAAAAAATTACTTACCGAGCGCGAAAACACGTCTATGCCTGTAACTTCACTCTCATCGGTGCGAATTTCACGAAACTTCGTTGCTGTATAGTTGGTACCTCGACTCATGCACACATACAAAAGCAAGACTGTACTTTATTTCGTTCAAGTTTTATTTTGACTGTATGAATGTGCCCCGCGTACGAAGGGTAACGATCTTCCCCTATATTATAAAAACATATATTCTTACCACCTTTAGTATGAAAATATGGTCGACAGCCACAGAACATTATCGCCATTTTATCGTTCGTAAGGAGTAAACTCCAATGGTGCGTCTTAGCTGACACACACACACTTTTTTAATGAAAAGTCAATGCTGTAACTAATTTAAACTTTCCGTAAAGATTTGAATAAACAACCAAATAAGATTGTCGTCTAACCTTGTCGGTCTTTTGGATAATGCGTTCCACGTAAACATTCGACAAAGGCATCATATATCCATCAAAATGGCACATCATATGACGTCCCATTGTCATGGCTAACAAACATAATACGTGAAACGAACATTTTGCGTAATATTTATCATATTTTCTAGGAAATGTAGAGCAATCTTAAATTATAATAATATTTATTCAGAGACGAGTTGATACCCGCGACTTGTTTCTTTTTAGAATTGAGTGATATTCCAAAACCCACGAAGAACGCTTATCAACTCTGACGTAACCATTGATGTGTCAATATTAAATCTAATATATAAAATTCTCGTGTCGCGGTGTTTGTAGTTAAACTCCTCCGAAACGGCTTGACCGATTCTCATGAAATTTTGTGTGCATATTGGGTATGTCTGAGAATCGGACAACATCTATTTTTCATCCCCCTAAATGTTAAGGGTAGTCCATCCCTATTTTTTTTTAAATTTTTACATAAAATTTTTTTATGATACAGCATTAAAAATACATACAACCCCTAATTTTCACCGCTCTACGATCAACCCCTATTTTTTATTATAAATGATACATAGCAAATCGACGTTTGCCAGGTCAGACAGTTTTAATATAAAAATCACTAAATAAGACAAACAATAATTCATATTAATCAGTACTACTACTATACATATATTTTGTATTCGCATAAGATTAGTCGTCGAACAATCGGTATCAATGTTTTGATGGGCTTAGTAATAATGTACAATCATATTACGCGCAATTATAATTATTATATTAATAACTATAATTTTATGTTATATATATAAGTTGTCCTTGGTTTTAATATATAAGTTTTAAAGTTATTCGTCGTCCTCGTGGTCTGACCACTATGTCTAGTTTATGTTTTCACCACACTATTGGAAATTTCTTGATAAATGAATGTGTGTGTAATTTATTATGATTATACGGTATAGAAAACCACTGCATTGGATGGCGCCTCCAATTAGTTTGAAATATCGAGGTCTAAGATATTCAGCTGGACCCAATTAAACTTCTACAATGAACATTCAAAATCGACGAGCATTTTGTAACTTATTTTATTTCTATTAAGTATATTTATTGTGCAATAAAAGTATAATAACTAGAAGTTACAGACACTGTAAATATGTTTAGTATTGAATGATTCACAGGTTATGCAAAGTATAAGTTAACAGCTAATTTTGAAGACAACTCATAAATCAAAGATAAGAAATTTCATCTCAAATGTTATCAGTGAAAAATGTTAAATATGAAAGTTATTGTTCGATTTTTTATGGAAGTTTGATCTTATGTACTATTTATAAATAAAAGCGTGGTAAGTAAACATCGGTTAATAAGTATAATATGAAAAGCATTTTTTCGTAAATATGTATGACTTTATATATCTTTATGAATAGTTGTACTCTAGGGACAATTCTTAAAAATTGGTACGTTCATAATTGTTTTGAAAGTTTTAATAAGCGAGAGTTTAATATTTCATATATACCATGACCTCCTGTTAGCGAGATATCTTTATAACAACATTCGTCTTTCTTGAACTGTAGTAGCTATATTATTCAGGTAAATGGTTTTACAATGAAAAACTTTCTTAGATAATTTAGAAATTATTATGAATAACCGTTAATCTTTAAATAGTAGGCAAGTAATGTACATTTAAATATATATTGGATACCATTGCGTATTAAATCACTATTTATTCAATAAACCAACGATTTATAATGCATATAAGCCTTGTAAACGCTTCCACGACATTTCGAGAGTGGAAATGTTTATCAAATTGAATAAGGAAAGAAACAATCCTTGACGGAAATGATGTCATCAGGTAAACTGAGAAGGTCTTACAATGATTTGTCGTGTAAATGCATGTATTTGTATTTCAATAACTTATGTAGAACATAATGGATACAAGATACATAGGAATAATAAGGGAAATGAGACAAGTATAATGTTACAAACATCATATAAATCTTTTTTGGAAAAAAACGAGCACCTAAGGAAAATAAAATTCCTAAAGTAAATAAAATACGTGTGTAAAGTGAATTTTGGCATTTTTTTTGATACATTTTTGATGAATACTTTAAAACCGATGTACCGATATTTTATTAATTAAAGAAATGTAAAAACCTAATAACGAGAGTGACCTTCTGTTGCCAAAATCGTAGTTTGAACAGAGACTACGTCAGACAATTAAATTGCATTTAATTAACTGATTTCGACCTTAGAACGTAAATTTCCTTAGGTGCCCGTTTTTTTGCAAGCATAATAATTATTAGCATCCACTGAATTTTTTAATTGGTTGCGATTTTCATTTTGTAAATAATTAAAAAGATTCTAATTGACACTTATGTTTTTTATACAGTGGCCTGAAGGCTTAGTGTGCGGCTCATCCTTGAAGTCAAAGATTCGAGTCCCAGCTCGACACTCGCTCGTAGAAGTGAAGGAAAACATTTAGAGGAAACCCAATAACTCGCCGACATGTGACGAGTGAGTTTTTGATAAAAAATAAATAAATAAATCAGTGGCGCTACAACCTCTTTAGGTCTTGGCCTCAGATTTATGTAACTGTTTCATGATCATTTTTAAATCTAATAGGCAAGTAGGTGATCGGCCTGCAGTGCCTGACACATGCCGTCGACTTTTTGGGTCTAAGATATGTCGGTTTCCTCACGATGTTTTCCTTCACCGTTCGAACAAATGTTAAATGCGCATGAGTTTTTGATACTTAAGAATAAATATTCTTTTTATTTCTGATTCAACTCCGATTTAAATCAGTTCTATAAAATACATATCGATACCTCTAAAGTATAATGAGTCAACTGACATTATAGTAATTTTATAGGAGAGCCATTTGAAGGTAAATCGTTTATATTTGAATGAAATCAAAGTATAAAGAAATGTAACACGCGATCGCTATGATATGAAACTATATGAAGAAAATTCTACAAAACTGCACTCTTTACAATTAAGTTTTTATTTTTAATAACAAGATAATAAAACAGAAGTACAAACGAAGTTTTTTGTTGCTGTAGCGATCTAAAGATCGATAACACCGGATCGTTACATCTGTGTGGTCTGTATTTATTAGAGACTGCTTTAGGCCAACACTGAGAAACAATATTTTCTTTGAAAATATTTGTTATTTCGTTTTTACAAAAAAAAAATTTTATAAACTCGACTCTTTAAACCCAAGTTTTCTTAAAATCTCTAATCTTCGTTGGTTTGGTTTTTAATTATACGATAAAATTACAAATTAATACTTTCTGGGGTACAATACGCCCCCACTGTAAGGCGCAAAACCACCCTTACTATAAAACTGGGCACTGGGATCACTACCATACACCTCAATTTCAAATTTGTAACCCCTCAAAATACTAGGACTTTTCAGGCCAATGGTCACACTTTTCTCCCCAACTCCGCCACTTTCGATGAATGCTTCTCCATCTTTGTCATCTCGCAAATCAGTGACAAAGACGGCACTAATGATCTCGTTGTGTGGCGTATTAATTATGACGTCATCTGTCCTTTTCCAGAGAGCTGGGTCTGCTCCTTTTATTTCACCATAAATTTTCCTTGAGCTCGGAGCAACGAGTCCTAATCTTATGTCGTTTGAAGTAACTTCAGTTACTATGTATAGGGCACTGAGGATCAAAATCCTTGCGTCCATCTTCATTGATTTTGTTCGAAAATTCGAATAACAATGACGATTCTGGATGTTTTTTCGTAATATATAGTTGTTGTTGTATTAGGTCATTGTAAGATTTATGTGAAGATGTTTATAGTTCAGTAATTAGCGAGTTAGTTACGTTTGTTTGTTCAGAAGTTTCCTAGTATTGTGAGTAAAATACAGGACGTTCCAATTTACAAAGTGAATTTGATATTTTCTTTATGTCTATGTCTTATTAGATCTTTTTTTTTTAAAGTTATTCTATAATATAATATACTGATGTTACCAAAAAAATATTCTAAGTAAAATCCCCTTTGTCTCTATTAAAGCTCATTGGCTGGAAGATATGCTCTCGTTAACGCCAGTTGTATTCAGCAACTTATGTCTGTCTTCTGTTTTATTTTTTATGAAGTGCAAATCAGTTATTATTAAAGAATAAATGTTATATCTTTATTTATTTATGTTGTTCTTAAATATATACTTATTTTGACAACACGCTATGCCACATACTTAGTCACACTTTAAAAAAACGTTTATTGATTTTATTTATTATCACATATATGTACACTACGTAATTTCATCTCATTTTGTCACAATCGTAACTGTAGGATCGTTGTACAATGTTTTTCAAAATACTTTTATTAATTATTCCAATTCTGAATATTTTCGCACACGATTTAATACTCGGATACCCGGACTTAAACTCCAAACTGATCTACCAACAAGTCCATCAACAAAATCCAGCGATTTGGGTGAGATCGGATACGTTCACCGTAAACTGTTCGAAAAATGAAGTTATCAATGCAATTAAAGTTCTGGATCTGCGCCACGATAAATGGGGCGAAGTTTACCTGAAAAAAGGCGGGATTGGGCAGAGTTTTGTTGCACTGGAATTGGATAGCCCCAGCATCTTCAGAGGTTATAACTTCCTGGTAGAAGTGTATGCGATTCAGACAGGTTATTTTATGAATTTACACGGTAAATAGTTTTTTTATTAAACATTAGTTAGTTCAAAGTGTTTTATTTTGACCGCAAACCTTACTATTTAATTTTAAACGCATAACGTAAAGGTAGTATTAAAAATATATTACAGAAACTTTATTTATAAATTAGCGTCCGAATATTAAGCATTAGGTTCTTGATCTTAGAGTTTATATTTAAGAAATTGTTTTAGGAAAGTTACCATTAAAAAGTAAAAACGTACCAAGGTCCCACTACACAGTAAGGATACTCTCAGATTATATTAAAAGCCCTAAATCAAAATAATATTATTACTTCATTATAAAATTTATAAAAAAATAAGCAAGTTTCGAAGAAATTTTAGCTGTTAAGAAAATACTTTAGTCCCAAGAATAGTAGAATGCCTAGCGTTAGTAGCACACTAAAAAAAGACATGAACAACATCGTGGCCCTGATAAGACCTGTATTGTGTATAATAAACAAAGGATCGGATACGTTTTGATTCCATCTAGAGACAATTCATTTCAGAAAACATTATTTGATCCAGTCATTAATGAGTTATAAGAATTTTTTACATTATAAAACTGTTATGGAATACATAAGTAGTTCCCCTTATGATGTCAATATTATTCTAGGCATGTACTAAGAAAAATACGTGATTCAGCTGTGACCTTGCTTTTATTTCTGCAATGTAATAGGAATTGTTTAGGTACATAATAATAAGTATGTGAGTCTATTTTAATAAATACATAATATATGCTTATATTATTTGTATTGCGCGATATATCACAATATAGCTTTATAGCTCGGTAGACCACACTTTGTTTAACTGGAAATTGATTTTGTAAAGTTAAGTTAAGTTAAAAAAGTTATTAAGGGATAAAGTTAATTTTTAACTCCCTTTTTCCTCATCTTGATGCAGGTTTTACCTTCTAACATCTTTACTCCAAGCCTCCTTTCACCATTTTCCATTTCACATTTCATACATATATATTATATTTATATATACATATATATATGTATCTTATAAAAATAAAAGATTTTTAATTAAAAGACTGATAAAAATATTCAAGTTCATTTTAATCTCAATGATGCAATTTCAAGGCGTTCAACATTTTTTTACTCATGACTAATAACGATTTAAGATTGGTACACATCAAACCATATAATCTGGTCACTCTATTATACACTAAAATTGGAACACAAATTATCAAACATACTTAATACCAACCAATAGCAAAATTTGCCAGTCAATTTTATGTGCTAGAGTTTTGATTTCAAACAAAGTATAATCTAAGCATAAATTTCTATAAGGAACTTATAACCAGATCCCCGTTCACTCTTCAGTTTAATATTAACGAAACTGAAACCAATTCCACCTCTTGTTATAGAAGGTTCAGCTAAACCATTCTCCAAATCCTTTATAGCAATTCCTTTTATCTTCTGATCGGCGATTGGATACTCGAATTGCACTTCTTCTTCCCTTTTAAATAATGGAATAGCATGGGCCTCGACAGTTCTTTCATGCACTTTTCTTACATAATTATTATGGTCTAATATTTGACCCACTATCACACTTTTACAATTCACTATAACTATTAAAGCGGACACTAATATTAATACTTTGAGAGACATGTTTGTTGCTTGGTATAAGAATGAGTATAGCTTACACTAGCAAAGCGGTATGAGGTCGATGCTGTTATGTCGGGGTTACATGGCGAAATAATTTTAAGAAAATTGAATTTAAATAATCATATTCATGATTGATTATTATTTATTATCGGAATGTAAGAAAAAATAACCAAAATTTATAAAGGCATTTATTTAACATAAACATTCAGAAAGAAGTGCTCAGTCATTGATTTACGCGTATACTTCCAAACGGAATTTGTATCCCGATCCCCTCTCGCTCTTCAATTTAATCTTTGCAAATCCAAATCCAATACCACCACTAGTTATTGACGGCTCTGCCTTCCCATTCTGCAAGTCTATAATAGCAATGCCCTTAATTTTTTGATCACCAACGGGATATTCTATGGAGACTTCCTGCGATCGTTTAAAAAAGGGGATAGAATTTGCTTCGTATTCAGCTTCATACACTTTATGAACATCGTGAGTACGACCGACGACGACACTTGTACAATGTACTGAAACTATCAGACCACAAAATAATATTAACAACTTAGAAGACATTTTAGTTCCGCGTCGTGAAGTGGTGTTCCGGGAATGATACAGAATTTAGGGTATGCAGCAAGTGTGAGACAGACAATTAAATGATCAATTGGAGTAAAAGAGATGTGAACAGATAGTTTTTTCTGTTATCAGCATGTTGCTCCTATTGTTTGAAGATTGTTAAGGTGAGGTTTATATGTATTAAATTTAAACAATTGTTTAAAACATTATTTATTTAAAAGCTAAAATAGTCAATACAGGTTTCTAAAGTTTTGGTATCTAAAGCATGCCTGCGCAGTTTCTCTGTAAGTTGAAGACTATGTGACGTTTTTGTATGCAATTACGACGTTAACTGTAGTAATAATTATTTTTGTAAATTTGAACGAATTAAGGGTAAGGTAAATTTTTTTTCCCTTAAACTCAAGTCTCTCACTACTTATTTTACACTGCACTACGATTTTAAAACACGTATGATTGATAAAAATCTAATAATAATAATAATCCCGTGGCGCTATAACCCTAAATGGGTCTTGACCTCAGATTGCATCTCCTATTATCGTTTTTATTTCACAAACAAGTAGTTTATCGGCTTCTGTCACTCTTGACTTGACTTGTGTAAGAACACAAGTCGTCAGTTTTTGAATTTGAGACATTTAGGTCTCCTCACGAAGTTTTCGTTCACGGTTACAGCTAGTGTTAGATGAGCTTATAGACAGAAAGTCCATTCATAAACAGCCGTGGTTTAAACCTACTACCTCAGAGTTAAGCGTCGGCCGCTGAAGCCACTAGACCAACACTGGTTTTAAATAAAAAAAAAATCAAAATATGATTTATTTATATAGGTAACACGTTGAAGTCTACGATCTGTTACCTAAGTACTAAATATTAGTTTACTGCCCGTTCTCTAATCAAGGGTGAAGTGAGTTGGAAAGTGAATTCGATAATTAACATATACAAATGTTTATGTACTTAAGGCAATGACAGCGTACAATAATAAAAACATCACTGTCTTGAATAACATATTATGTATTTATTAGAATTGGTATGAGTTTGAATATATATTTGACAAATACGTCACATGGCGGCGGTTAAATAATTTATTACTACCGCCATGTAACCCTACCACAAAATGTTTAATACACATTAGCCGTATCAACATCCACTGGGCAGAGGTCACTTGATACGATTACTCATTTAGTATAGAACTGTACCTTACTGCCTTGCAATAAAGTTTATGTTTGCTAGTTATTCATTAAATTAATAGTTGTTTGTCCTTTATATGGAAATTTGCTTGTTTAGTAGACAAGTGTAAAATCAGATCAAATATAGGGAAAATTCATTACTTAAATATATTTCGTAGTTAATGAATGTTTGGCCATTCATTAACCTAACAGCATGCTGGTAATAGCGGGAAGACTAGATTACCCTTAGATGGCTCAATCAATGACTTCGACCACAATTATACGACATAATATACCTTAAAACTAACTTACTAATAAAAATAAAAATTACATTATTTTATAATTTTATTTTGTTACAAAAATTCAAATACAATAAATACCTACTAATATAATATTTTTTTATGTAACTAACACAAGAATATCCATAGACACCTTAAATTAATAAATAATTATAAGTATTAAACCTCTTCATAAAATCTAAATTATTTAATCACACTGTTGTACTCTTTGATAACGTGTTAAGGCTATGATGGTGAGAGACAGCACAGTGATTTTGTGTAAAATAGTTGAATTAATAGAATTAGATTGGATTTTGTATAGCTAAAAAATAATAAATTAATGTAATATACTTACTTTATAAAGAATTAGTTTGTAACAAAAAAATGAAAAATAATATATTTGTAATATTGTACATCTACGCAGCATATACATCAACCATAAACTTATAACCTTTCGATCTTGGACTCTTTAATTTCAAGGAAATAGACCTTTGGCCTATCCCTCCTCCTACAGGATGACACTCTCCTGTCCCGTAGTAATCTTGTACAACAACGCCTCTAATCAGTTCTCCACCAGGCGCATGCACTTCGACAACTTCATCTCTTTTTACTAATGGAATTGCCCATTTTTTATGTGTTCGTTGGTAAATCAAATTCGCGCCATACGGGCTGCCAAGGACAAGATTCCCGTTGGCATCCACCAGTGTTGCCACCAACAAAAACAAAGCACAGAGTAAAATTAATTTAGACATGATAGCCGGCTATGTAAACCCTTTTTGATAGAAAAACCGTTGGATAACGATATTTATAATTGCATAATTTGTTTATCCATTAAGAATTATGATTTAATTGTGATAGTGATGTCTTTTAAATTTGATATTAATTTCGTTTACAGTTTACTGGTTCGTTATTTACTTTGTTATCGAATTAATTGGAATTATTATTCGTCTGTACCTACTTACTTTGGTAATTTAACTTTAAATTTTTTTTTATGTGAAATTTAATTTTATATAAATATGTAATAGTTTTATACAAGTATAAGATAGAACATCTCTTATCTGAACTTATCAGGAGTTATTTTGTAAACGCCGCCGATAAAGTTTCGAAATGTTAATATAGGTTAAATTTTGATCGAAGCTGCAGTCTTTGTTTTTTTATTATGCAGTAAGTAGTTGGATAAAACAAAATGGTGTTAATAATGTTACGTCTAACTTTCTTTATTATTTTTAGTGTTCATTGTGCCAGTGTTATTGAATGTGAATCAGTTAGAAAAGATAAACTATTGCATCACAGTGAGCATTTCAAATCACCATTTTTATTTATTCGTACATCTGACGTTGCTTTCCCGAAATATTCTGAGGAACAGGGCAATATCATAACAGCCATAGAGATCACAGATAATAATCAAGATGGCGCCTCGGCGGAGGTCGACTATGGTGGCGTTGGTTATAATTATGTAAATGTACATCTAAGAAGTGCTTTGTGGGGCGGATTTAATTTTACTATAGATATTTATGGTGATAATAACATTGATTGTAATGATAATAAATAATTAAAGGTAATTTTACTAAAGCAGTTATTGTTTTTCCTTTACATGAAATGTAAATAAAAGTCCTACTTTCCCAACCAAACTTGGATGTAAGCCGAAGTTGGTATTGCAAGTTTTATTAAATTATAACGCCTGATGGTTTATTACGATTATTAGGTAAACACAACTAAGACATATCACAAAAAAGATACAAGTAAGTTTGAGCTTCATGTCAAATTTATAAAATTCTCTTAATAATAAATATTTATTCAATTCTTAATTATTATTTAATTTAGAATTTTTATTATTATTACTACGTAGGTTAAAATTATAGTAAATACTGTTTATTTGTGTGTTGGTGATAAATTATTGATATTTCAAATCATTAGTTTTTCTCAATGATACACACAGTAGTACTACAGTTGACAAGTTGTCAGGAGTACGTAAGTACCTTCTTACACCAAAATTTGAAAAATGAAAATCATATTTTTTTTAAATCTTTTAACTAACAAAAATATTACTCTATTATATAGTTGTTTCTGAGTAGCAGTAGCTTTACAAAATCGTAAAATTGTTTGGAGTTATCTTCTTTGTTCAAATATAATATGTCTTTCTCAAATCCAATTCTCTTGTCTCCAGGTAGAAAGGTCGTAAATTTTCGCTACTGCTTGTTAGTGGAATTTTATGACTTAACATAAATTAATGATACAAAACTACTAGGCCACAACAAATTGGAGTTATCCAAGAGGAATAAGATAAAAAACGATTTATTTCGGTTTCGGATTATATTTACGACCTCTGATATTGAATGAGAATTTGTACTTGGATAATAATGACATAGAGCTGCCTTGTGATAGGATTTTATAAGGTTTTCATAATAAGCCTGCAGGGTACCTTGTGGCGAAGTGTCGGGGAGTGGCGAAGCCGAGGGCCCGTTTACCCCAGTGGGATAGGCCTTTCCTTACCCCGGCTTGCCTAAGATGGCCGGCCGGAGTGACGTCTGACGAGGAGGCCTTTAGCTTGTCTTAATTGGCTATCCCGAGTGGATTCGGTAGAGCTATACGCTCGGGGGTAGAAGTGTCTAATGGCGTAACAGCGGTGAAACATGCTCCGGTCTTCTCTAAGACCGATGGTGAAACCGGTGTCCCACCTCTTTACACCCCTAGCTGATTCTGCTGTTGATCCCCTCTGTTGCCATATCTGGCAACGGTTTCGAGGGCCCCTCCACCGAATTGGCACCGTCTGCAGATTTTTATTTTTACTAACACAATGGTAAAAAGGTAGACGCCACAGTTCCCAAAAGTCTCGAAGCCCGTTTTTCTATCCCGTTTAGAGATTAGATTTTTTATTTGTCATTATAGACAAAAAAAATTACTACATGAATTAAATATAATACCATAATAACTTTTTTTTACATCCATCAGAAAAATGTTTTAGCAGCTCTATATATGTTCTATTCAAGTTTATCAGGCGTGAACATAATGGGCTATAATAATAGTGTATAATAGGCCTAATGAGGGCCCTCAAACCTTTTTAACCGGTCTTAGTGACCCTATATTAATTATTTCCACATTCTGAATTTGAATTCCTGGGGCGATATTCTTATTTTGAATATCAAGGAATATCCACTTAGAAAAATTTTGCAATTATTTTAGGCCTACATCATAATGTTGGCATTTTAGTTCGAATTTATGATGTTACAGTGTGGCTGTGTGTGTGAGCCAGAAAATACATTTCTGGCTTTACAGCCACACTGAGTTTCTTGGATTCTTGAATATAGAAGGGAGCTGTTCAGTGTTCGAACATTATAATCGAGATGGAAATCTTATTTAGAAAAATGCGATACATAACATTCAAACAGTATAAAGAGATTCAAACTGTACAAATTTGAAGACAATAAAAACAAACCTTTAATCTTTAGGTAATAATCGCTGTCCAAAAAGTAATTTTACTATGACGGCAGAGATTACTTATCTACACGTGTTTATCAATGATTACGTATCTATTAAATTTCGAGAATAATTAAATGTTAATTAACAATGGCCATATTCGTTCGATTAAATGTTTGAAATTCATCTTCTTTTATTTCTTTTTATTTTGTGCCAGTGTGTGAATGGTGATAATGTCTATGGTAATATATTACCGGAAGTTGATGTGAATGAAAATGAGCTAGACTCTTTTTTTATGCACAAAACTAAACCTATGCAAAGTACATTCCATAGAGTAACGAAAAAGTATCAATGCAAGCTGAATGGGGATGACTCTAGTAAGTAAAATTTCTTGTTTATCCTTTTTTTTATTATCATGCATCGTCTTTTCTATATTTTATATTTATTTTTTAAACTGAAGTGATTTTCGGTATAGTGTAAAATTGGGATATAAAGCTATACAAATTCATGACTAAAAACAACACAGTGCTCGATTAATATTACATTGTAACCTTTTTAGTTTATTATACCTATACAATAAGGTGTTTTTCACACACCATATTATAAAAAGGAGTGTAATAACACTGATTACGTTTGCATAAATAAGAAAGTAAGCCGATTGACACTCTAAGAAATACCGTTCCTTTTCCGTTTAAGTCAATTAAATTCTAGTCTTTTTACACCAAGTATTATTTCTAAATATAGTATAACAAGTATATTAAGAAATATAATGTTTAATAGCCTTTTAATCTGCTAAAGTGTAAATTCTATTCAAATTAAAATTCGATAAATTAAATCTACGTATGCAAGCGAGTCAAGGCTACCATTTGAATTAATCCACACAAAACAATATTTAGGTACATCGGGAGTATTTTCGTTAACCTCAATTAAATATTTTTATAACAGTGAAATTTAAAATACAACCGCGTTTTATTTTCTTTTATTTTTGAATAACAAGTGATAGTTAAGCATTTCTACAGAAACATACATATTATAAGCAGACAAAGTTTTTTCATAGGTTCAGTCTCTTTACTCTATGGATCGAAAGCATGGACATTCCCCCGGCAAGATGTTAATTTAGTATTAAAATATCCAACCGTAAGTAATAAAATAGATACTGTTTCTTACATTACAATATCAATTAAAGATACTTTATTTAATTAAAACAAAATTAATCTAAATTAAATAAAAATTTCTGCCAATTAAATTATGTACTATAATTGTCTTGCTTGTGGCTAGGTGCGCGGCTCATCCCAGAGTGTGTATGTTCAAACCCGGCTGTGTAACAAATGTATTCTATGTGTGCGATTAATACTATATGTGCTCATCATATTGTGAAGGGTTAACATCGTGAGGAAACCGCCTGGTCTAAGAATGGTGATTTAAAATAAAATTAATTTTAAATTAATGTTGAGGGAGCACGCATTGGATAACAGGTTGACCGCAATTACCTGTAACTAATTTTAGTATAATTAATTTGCTGATATAAATTTGCAGACATGTTTTTTTAAAATAAATTTTACCTTATTTTAAAGGAAGAGATGTAAAGAATTGAAAAAGAGAAAAAGCTGCCAGCTTTCAGTCATCTGTCAAATAATAATGAACCAGTGGGGTTACAAGCCACTTAGGTACTTGTTGTATGTAGGTGAGCGTTTTCTAAGGCAGTTTTTGCCGCGCACCACCACTATGTGGAACCAGCTGCCCACTGAAGTATTTCCGAACCAATTCGACTTAGGGTCCTTCAAGAAAAGAGCGTACAAATTCTTGAAGGGCCGGCAACGCACTTGCAAGCCTTCTGGCAGTGTGAGCGTCACTTAACATCAGGTGAGCCTCCTGCCCGTTTGCCTCCTATTACATAACAAAAAAAAATCTGTTCCCTTTATGGAAATTATCTGTATTAATCATTATCTTAATTACTGTTTGAATATAAATTTTGAAATTGAAAAAGTTTCAATAGACGCGCAATGCCAAAACATGTAAAATCTTTATCTTCTATCTACATATATTTTAATTATCCTTAAATATATCAAAACAACGTAGTTCAAAAATGACAGATATAATAGGAAATTTAACTATTAAATCGATATATAATGAGAAATATAGATTATTAAATAAAATTATATTAAAAAACTACTAAACAGCTTTATTGAATTGTTCTGAATTTGTATAGAATTAAATGGTAGATCCTAGAAGATATGATTTTTTTAAATACCGTTATTAAGGCATAACGCCCTAAACGAGTAAGGAAAACCTTTTTGGTACATCAAAAATGACGAAAACGGTGATAACTAAACAACTTTAATATTTTTAGGCGGGAAACTTGACAGATTATTGCATAACTAAAGTAACAGTCATCCTGTACCTAGACGGATGTCAAAGTAAAGGCTACATCAAAAAAGGTGGATTACTAGATGTAAGTATAACGTACGTAAGTACGTAACACGTCTATTCGCTTCTTTTTTTTGTATAGACATTTACTTCGATACAGATACGTATTGGTATACTTTTTCTTAACTAAATAAATAGGAAAGTTAGGGGAAAAACGATTTGTCACAAATCCTGGAAAACTTTAATAATTTCAATTTTTTTTCAGAACCATATAGAAATGAACTTTATTGTGGAAAACACAACACGGTTGGCCTATCAGTTTTGGCTAAATGGTGCTCCTGCCTCGGAGTTAAACTTACATTATCGACATTATAGAAAGTTGTGCTAAATTTGTACTTTTATTTAATTTCCTATAACACCATTAAACATTATATAGCCTAGTTTTAAAGATTAGCATTGAAAGCGAACATTTTTAAAATAGTAAATACTGCATACATGGATTGATATGTTTGTGGCTGGTCTAGACGGTTCAGGTGGCGCACTTTGGTTTTATGATCACGAGAGAATATTTAATATCACCCTTACTGAGCTCTCCACCTCCTTGGTTCAGTTGTTGTGATGTCAAGTGAACAAAGTTTACGTTGAACATTTGTGTGGATTTTAATTCCGGCAAAATTTTGGTTTCGTAATCATAGAACATCACATCATTTTCTTGACTTACTTTCACAAGAGACTATGGATAATTTTACGTAAAAAATACTTACAACCAACTGCCATTTGTCCAGGGTTCCCTTCTTCTCCTTTGTGTGTTCGCATCCATAATCCATATTAACGCTGACAGCAGAATGAGGAAACGGAAAACAGACGTGTTCCCCATGTTTTATTTCACAACATCTCAGGTCAATTGTCACTGTCACTTTTAATTCAAAAGATGTCTTTGATATAACCAAATCATTGTTTGTCTCACTTGGTTAATATGGTAATAATAAACAAAAAGAATATAATAATAATATATGCCTGTCTATGTAAATCTACAAAGAACACGTACTTTTACGCCCATATCTTTCCATCATCAATCCAAATACCAACTTTTTCATTAAGTTTGAATAGTGTACGTAGTACTAGTACTTACATTTACCTAGGTATTAAGTTTATTAACAGCATGTTGGTATACTATTGATACTTATCATACCTTCCCAAATTTACAATAAAACAAAATACAGCCTTTCCCAGCAACAATACAGCTGAGGAGACAGCTGTATGGCTACATAAACATAACGAAAACTAACTTGAAAAAAACCAGTGGCGCAACAACCTTCGTTCTTGGGCCTTGGCCTCAGATATCGCTATCTGTTTCAAGATCATTTGTTTCTTTGAAAAGGCAAGTAGGTGATCAACCTGTGCCTGACACACACCGTGAAAGTTTTGGGTCTAAGGCAAGCCTTTATGTTTTCCTTCAACGTTCGAGCTAGTGTTTACGAAGATAGTCTATTGGTTCTCAGCCGGGGTACGAACCTACGACCGTCGTTGAAACCACTAGACCAAAACAGCTTAAATAAAATAATGTTGAATTAAAATTTAACACTTACTTATAATACAAAAAGTTGTTAACAAAATTAATAATAGTTACTATTGATATTTGTTACTCATAATAAATACCTTCGACTACAAAATAATCGGGGAATCAGCCAAATAAAATATATTTAAAATTATAAAACACGAACAAAGACTGCGTTGGTGGGATGGGGACCAGAGAACTCTGTATCTTCCAATAACTATACATAAGCGCTATGAGAGAACTACTTGCATACAAGTCAAAGTCAATGTCAAAGTCAAAATAACTTTATTCATATAGGTAAACAAGTACACTTATGAACGTCAGAAAAGAAGTTAAATTAATTCTAAATTTATATTTACTACCAGTTCGTAAGTCCAGGGCGTAGGCCGGACAAGAAGAACTGGCAAGAAACATTCCGCCACTCTTTTTAATCGCTAAGTTTTGAGCCATACAAATAGTTTGAACTGGATCAAATAAATTCCAAGGATTAGGATCATATAAATATTCGTCAAATTTATAAAGAGCTTTATTGATTAATTTTCGTTTAACGAGGGCTTTGAATTTATTCAGTGATAATTCTCTAATTTCGCTTGGGAGTTTGTTGTAAAAACGAATACAATTTCCATATTAGGAGTGGTTTATCTTCTGGAGCCTGGTTGGTCGTACGCTTAAATTAGTTATTAGTTTATTAGTTAGTCACACTTCCGCTTTTCTAGCGTGTTCCAATCAAGGGCGTGCTTGCGGATATGATTGAAATCTCTTCGGAGTGTAAGGCCTATCCAGTTCTATTGCGTCGCATGCTTTTGAGCGATTCCAAAATTGCTCGATAGAGATCTTTTTGGGCCAGTCAGCCAGAATACGGCGGAGACAGCGGTTGATGAAGACTTGGAGCGAAATTTCGTTAGTGACTTTCATTTTTTATTTTTTATTTTACTTGTTAAGGACTAATAAAACACTATTTTGACCGGATTGAAGTTATGTATTATTATAAATTTACAACTATTTAAAACCGTGGTCACGGTGACGCACGCTGTAAACCGCGAAACGTCGGATAAATTTAAAATTATGTTAAATAGTTGTAAATTTATAATAATACATAACTTCAATCCGGTCAAAATAGTGTTTTATTAAATAAATAAAAGTTATGTTAATCAAAGACAATACTACTTGTTAAGGACTAAATGTTACTGTATATGAAAATCGAAAATGCGAAATAGATTTACGAAAATTAACGTAGATTTAATTTTCGAACTTAGTTTTAAATTTGTCTTGTTTTTAATCTGTAAAATTGATCAAATATCGACTCACATCACTCAATTCAAAGACAATAGAATTTGATAAATATTAATATCACAGAGCATAAATTAATAACTTAATCTACGTGGGCGAGGTCAATAATCTTTTAATATTTTTTTCATTGTAATTGCTATTTGATTGATTCGTTTGAAAAAGTTTTCCGCTTAAAGATATTTTTTCCAATTATTTTAATAGACTGGTATTTCTTTGTCTCTTCTCTCTCTCTCTCTCAAAAGAGACAGAGTACTTTAGTTTAAACGGTGCAAATGATTTTTAATGATTAAGGCTGTCTTAGGGTGAAAAGTAAAGTCGAACGCGCTAACCATAGATCAGGTATGTCAAAATCTAATTAGTTTTTGACATTTAGCATACTAAGCGGTTAGTCTCGGCTCCGAATCTTCATTAGACACAAAAATGGGCGGGTCAGTTACAGAGGGAATACCTACTCTTTGAAATTTTATCAGCCAATAAGCTGATATAAGATCCATAAAGGTTTAAGTATTTTCACCTTAAACACACTTAAAAATGATTATATATGTTACTAATTTTTTTGTATATAATAGTGAGGTGTTAATATATATTAGTAAAGTCACGGGTATATACCTAGTATAATTGGATTTAGAAAGCGAAGCCGCGTGTATGAGCTTGTTTAACAAACTCAAAAGAAGTCATGCGACCCTTATAATAATTTCGATCCGATTTACAATAGAAAAGCAACAGCGTAACTAATTTCAACATGGGAAAGAAGATTTTGTGTTATCACACAATACGAACACGACACGATATTTTTCTATAAAGGCAGAGTTCTAAAAAAATTAATTGGTAAACTAAACTGTTTTATTAAAAAAGTTGCTTAAAAATTTATATTTACAACTTAGAAACAATATTGAAGGCTTAGGCTTAAGCTTAGGCTTGATGGACACATGTCTCTATGCATCTAATTCATCTAATGAATACTTAGATTAGACATATGTATTATTGTGAATTTGACGAAATATTCAAATGTATGCATATTTTTATTTTGGTTTTGCGCGTAACACCAAGTGACAAAGTTTTTACATAAAATGTTTTTGACAGTATAAAAAGCTATACATGTTTACGTACCCATAAACGTGAGTATCCAAAATACCTACCAGTCGTAATTGCTAAACTATTTCATATCCGATTTTCTGTTATGTTAGTGCTACGGATGCTGTTAATTTCTACAGTGACACCGGTGAATAAAAATGTCGCATACTTTATCGTGTGGTGTAAAAGCGAATCTGTCGCCAGAACGTCGCTTCTCGTTCCTATTATAATAATCGTACCCTTCTTCTTTCATGTTACGCATTAATCTCAGAATTTCTCTTTGTTACCCATTAATTCCATAATTCTATTGACGAAAAATATTTTTATAAGATGTTGTCATAATCAAAAATATTGAAATAGATAAATACGCGATCGTTATGTGAAAGTATGTTTTAATAATTGTCGTCCATATATAGACTATATTAAGCTTCGTAATCATGAAGTCTTGGGTTCGATTGCTGTGCCATAGATTATTTATGTAAGAAATTACAGTAGCAAAGCATAATGGAGATTCTGGCGTGTGCAACATTAACGACGTATGTCAGGAAGTAAAGGCTAATTACTAATTAGCTACTTGTCTATAACAGAAAAATAATCAACTTTAACATCGCCGACATATCTGACTCTATACTAAAATTCATTATATTTCTGCAGTTGAAGCGTGAATGGAAGACTTTTGCGCTCACGTACGAACTTGTATGTTTGCGTCCGTTAGACATTTATTATTTCATACGAAATTGATATTATTAAGAATATTTTCATATTATTTCTGATGCGTCAAAAAATCCAGTGGCGTATCGGTGTATTTGGTACGTGTATCAGATTTATGTATCTGTTTCGTAATCATTTGTTTTTTCTACTTACCCCTACTTGATCAGCCTTATGTGCCTGACACACGCCGTCGATGTATACAAATCATAGTAGGCATAATTAAAAGCCAAGCCTATTATTTTGATTATCAATGGATTATTACAAAATTAAATTCTTTAATCAAATTACTTGAAAAAATGGTTATGGCACACATAATTTTAAAAATAAAAATAAATTACGGTGCTAATAAGTATTGGACTTGAGAATAAAATAATCTTGCTTATAACAAACGTTATTAATTTACGTACACCACTTCAATTAATTTAAGAACATTTAGAATTTTAAGAACATTTAGAATTGTTTTTAATAAATTTAAAACGTTATCGTGAGTAATAACTAGGTCAAAACTGGTTAATATGACATCATAAAAACTGTAATTTACGATTAGTAACTTTTATTACTTAATTGGTATACTTTACCACTATTATAGAACCCTGTTTTATTTTAAATCTAATTAGTAAAAGGTAGAAATATAGTTTAATTTAGAATCGTTGTTTTCCCCATAATTATTACTATATAAATTGTTTTAAACTTGTGAATCAAATTGTAATTTCGGTACATAAAAATATATCTAAGGCAGTGATAAAATGATGCATGGTTGTTCCATATTTTAAGAAATTTGTATAAGGTTCCATTTAAAATTATTACAATATATTATATTATTTAAATTTAGTTTATGAGTTTTAAAACATTAGTAACTTTCTACGCTATTGACGTAAACAAAATTTTATATTTCACTCAAAGCACAAACACACCGTTAACATAAATTGTTCTACATTTAAACAAAATTGTTTGTTATTCAAACAATTTTGCGAATAAACAATTCGATTCGAACAATAGTGCACCGTTCTCGGGCAAGGCCGGCATTGAACTGATTCAAAACTTGATTCTTGGATTCCTGGATTTGTTTTATTGTAAGTTCCAACTTGTTTGATTGCACTGAAAAATTAACGATTAGAATTTATAGCAATATATGTGTGTGATTTGTCCTACATTTTTGATAAATGTTTATTAAAAAACGAATAGTGTAAATTC